TATAATTGTCACATACAATTATGTCAATTATATAAATATAATTTGTATAATTGTCACTAATGTGACAATTATACATATAAATATAATTGTTTGCGAGTTTATAAAATTACTTGGTTTGAGTATGATTGTAAAGTTAATTATTCTGTTATGGTTTTTAGATAAAAAAGAAGTCTGTTGACAAAAGAAAAAAGGATGAGACAAACAAAGCTTTGTTTGCAAGTATGGAAAAGGTAAAATGAAAATTTCTAGAAAATGTAAATAACTCTCACTTTGTTAGTTTTACTAGAAAATATATTTTGCTACAAACAATATAACTGCTACAAACTGCTACAAATAATCTTAAGAATTTTAAAATCTTTTGTAACCTATTTTAGTAGATTGATTATCTATACTGATTTAAACAGTTAAACATTCTCTGTAACTTATTTAACTTTAGTTAGTGGCCGGGGCCCTACTCCATCTAAAAATGAGACTTTTTGCAAATCATTTGCAGATGATGGTGATGCTTGCCACATAAGCAAGAATCTCCGAGTTCAATCCCCACCACATTCCTGGTAGTACCGCGTTCAACTTGTTTCTGTGTGCAGCGGACTTATTTTTTGTGTCTTGTGTTTCGCAGTTATATAGTTATATGACAGGAATGTTGTCTGAACCACAACATGTAGAAGAGTTTAATTGAGATATGATTTTATGAGTTTAATCGAGATTGATGAGATATGACATTGGAAGCAGAAGTGATTTGAATGTCTAACTAAGGGTTAACCTGTTTATTTGAAATGAAAATGGAAGAGAATAGTCATAAGATTCAAAGTCAAATTAGAAAAAAAGTTTATTGTAATTAGTTCTACCTTATCACTGGGAGAGGTAATAAGATCAGTCCCATGAATGAGAGATGAAATGTTAGACTTACTTTTGTTAACAACGCTGTTGAAGATTTTCTAAAATTCTCTAGAGTCTAACTTCTTAGATTTAGTGCATTGAGAATAATGGAGCTTAGCATCTAACAGCACCTTTTTACATCAATTTCTTGCAATAATAAATAGCTGTTTGTTCTCAAGAGAGTTGTTTTTTTGAAAAAGATGAAAAAAGTGATCACAATTAGATATAGCAGCTGCAGAAGTGGGTTAAAACCATAGAGTAGAACGAGACTTGACTTGAAGCCGTCAAGAAGGAATAAAAGCTTTTCTGTCTGAATCCAGGAGATTACAAAGGAGGCTCATTTCAGCTGAGGCGCATTTTTCAGCCCAAGGACCATTAAAAGAATCCCAGTCAGCTTTAGGGTAGTAATAAGTAGTGCTATGATAGGGTGAGTCCAAAAAGGAAGTACAAGATGCAAGATCTAAGAGATTATTGCATGGTCAGAACTACCTTAAGGAGAAAAATGAGAAACTGAACACAAGCTAGGATCAGAGACCAGACATAAATCAAGGAGTAAAGATAAATGATTAGGGTTTTCAGGAAAACAAGTTATGAAATTAACTATTTGAGTACAAGATTGAGAAATGCAGAAGTTATAGGCTTTAGAGCCAGCAGGGTCATTGGTGTTAGAGCCAAGTATTCAATGTGATGAGCATTAAAGTTGTCGATAACAACAATATTAGTAGAAGGGTAAAGAGAGAGAAGGCATTTGATCAGAAATTACGTCTAAAAGTGTGCAGTTATGGGAATAAGGAGAACGATAAAAAACAAAGAGAAAGTTGATAGAGTGAAGAGGTGCTAGCGGAAGCACATAAAAGAATGGTAGGAGGATTCGAACCTGATTTCATGACAAAAGTCCGTGAGTTGATGCGTATGTATACCCCTAAGCCAAGCATGTGACTATCTTTGCAAATCAAAAGATAGGACCCATCAACACTGAGATCAGAAGAAAGAATAGAAGAATTTAGATTAATCTCACTAAGAGCAAGCAAGTTTCTTGTCTCGGAGTTATAGAGTTGAGAGAGGGTTATAACCACAAATAAGTAGCCTCCTTGTCTGTAGTGGCCTTCTCGGCCTTAAGGAGGTGAATTAAATTTAAAAAAAAAAAAAAAAAAAAAGTCTGGTAAATTTTGCAAGAGTTAAGATTCAACTTATGGAAGGTTACTTTTCAGACCACGAATATTAGTGTTGAGCTTACAGCTGTTTGTTTATTTATTTTGTTTGTTTATTTATTTGTTTATTCAATCATCACAGTTACTCTAAGTTCATCATTTTAAAATGTTTATTCTCCGAAAAATAAAAGTTGTGTTTAAGTACAATTTATTTACTTCTACTATTTTTATTATTTATAAGTTTTTTTTTATTTAGGCAGCACTGGCAGCAATACAAAAGGATATCAATAGCGAAGGAGTTTCTTTAGGAAAATCTGATATGAAGAAAATTGCTGAAGGTATTCAAACTTGTTTCCAAATGTTGATGCTTGATATTTTTGCTTTTACTATTTGAAATATTTAATTGAGCAAATGATACTTGGTTGTTTCAGTCATCAGCAAAGGCTTTAATCTTTCTCTCTATCTATCTATCTATATATATATATATCTATATATATATATATATATATATATATATATATATATATATATATATATATATATATATATATATATATATATATATATATATATATATATATATACTTACTAAAGCGTGTTTTGATAAGCATTTGCTCACTTTTTCTGCTTACCTTAGACTATACCGTTTTTTTTTGAAAAAGAAGAAAAAACGAAGAATGATGAATAAAACGATTGCTTCCCCATCCCAAACCCTCAGTCGATGTAGCAGCACTCCACTGCGAGTCAGGCTATTTGTCAGTCGATGTATGTGCTGAAGCCCCCAGCAGCCGGCTATTTTAGTATGACGTCAGATTGCTTACCAAAGTATGCAGTACTATTTGTGTATATATATATATATATATATATATATATATATATATATATATATATATATATATATATATATATATATATATATATATATATATTATATATATATATATATATATATATATATATATATATATTATATATATATATATATATATATATATATATATATATATATATATATATATATATATATATATATATATATATATATATATATATATATATATATATATATATATATATATATATATATATATATATATATATATAAATGTTTAAAACTAGGTTTAAACATTTTTTGAATAAAAAATATTTGAGGTGCCTCAAGATCCTTAAACATTTGATTGGTCCCTAATATTATTTAAAAAAAAAGTTTTTCAAAAGTATGTCTTATTGGGTCTCAAATGAAACAAAGTTATAAAAAAATTTTAAAAATACTATTTATTTTATAAAAAAACATTGAAATAAAAATTATAATCAAAAATACGTGTAATAAAACACTTTTTCATTTTTAGTTAAAAAGTTTCATTTGTTTATTCAGTAAAATCTAAAAAAAATTTTTTTTTTTTTCTTTACTAAGAAGTTTGAATATAGTTGTACATTTCAAAAGTTCTTTTTAGCATATTATCTCTAGAAAACCATCTCACTAAAATATAATAAAGTAGACCATTATATTCAGTCATTTTCATTTAGAAATACCTAAAGTTCTTCTACTTCTGAACTTAATGATGTTTATTGTTTTAACAGCTAAAGACTTTTTTCACATCCATAACTTTTGCTGATAAGTAATAAAATGCAGCTTAATTTGAAATAATTTGAAATGTTTATTTAAAACAATTTGAATAAAGAAAATTAGTCCTAATTTGTTGGTAAAATAGTTGCTTTTTTAACTTTGAGCGGCCGTGGTGCAGTGGTTAGAGTACTTACTTTATAAGCAAGAGATCAAAGGTTAGAAGCATGCTCTAGGCATAGTTCATGTCATGGGTAAGGAAGGAGGTGTGAACTTTCTAGTTAAATGCTATTACATGGCGCTCTGTGACAAGACCAATAGGTCTTCTTGTGGCATTTAAAAAAAAATTAACGACAAGTTGTTTTTCATTTCGTTTTCCAGTCTGAAAACAACATCAATATTTTTTACAGTCATTGAGCTGCCACCATCATGTTGTAATTATCTGTTATCAATTGTAATTAATCTGTTGCAAGTTAAGTTAAACTTATTTAAAGTCTTTTAATGGCCAGCAAGATGTTTTTACCTGTTTGTAAAATATAGGTTGATTCATCATTAGCCATCTAATAATACTGAAATAATTTTATTCTTTCATCTAATGACAAACTCAAATCATTAGCAATGCCACTTGTTCTTTGTGTAATTGTTTGTCTTGTGAGGAAAATGTTATTTAAAAATTTCAACTTTTCAGGGGCCATGTTCTCTTTTCTCATTTAGGCGTTTGTCAAAAATTTCTTTTTATCTACATTAATAAAAAAAAAAAATTAATATATTTTTTTAAACATCTTTTATTTTAGTATTCGTTTTATTCAAACAAATTTAAATAAAATTTTTGTCATCTTTACTTAGAAATATTGTAATGAAATTTCAGATAAAAGCTCCGTTAAGCTTAATGGAGAAATGTGAATACGGCTGCAGGGAAAATGTTTTTAAACACTTCACTTTTGAACACAAGAACAGATTCTTTAATAATTTCCCCATTACTGAATGGTTTACAATATTTAGCTAAAAATAGACTTTGTAGCTTGCAACAGTATTTTTTTTTGATATTGCCCCTTTTTAACAAATCTTGTTGTCCAACTTATCTTATTTTTCAATTTTTTGCTTTTTCTTTCTGTACCTTGCCGACAAACTAATTGTAAGTTTATAAATATAGGTGAATAATTTATAACACCATAGCAATAGTTTTGTAAACTTTCTCAGGTACACAATACAACAGCTTATGAAAGAAGGCTAACATGCCAGACTTTTGACTAAAGAGTTTTTGAGCTGTAAAATTGAAAAACATAAATTTGGTTGTAACAAAGAGGAAGTTCAATATAGTACACCTATATGTTATAATATGTTGATGCATAGAATTATATAGTTTAATCTGTGTACAAAACTTTCAGTGAAAAACTTTTTATTATTTAAGCAAACACATTATCAGCTAACGATTCAAGTTTGACCTATCCATGGAAAGCTATGATTGCCCCACATGGGTTTACTTATTACTATAATTCTGCTACAGGAGGTAACTATTGTTATAATTTAAATTTTACATATTTATTAAGTTGAATTAAAAAAGATTAAGTAAATGAGAAATTTTGATTATAAATTAATGTATTGTTGATTACTTTTCATAATAGTTGTTTAAAGCTATTGTGTGGATTCTATTGATTTTAGCAAATTTTTTTATTTTTTATTTAAACTAATTCATTTCTGACAAGGCTGCAAGCAACCACTATTAAATTGGGAGTTACTAGAAAATGAATAATGTTAAAGACCAAGAAAATGGTTGACAGAAGACTTAAAAAGTTAAATGTTGTAAGAGTTGGGAAAATATGAAGATGGAAGATAGTTCCAAACCATTAATGTGCGAGGAAAGAAAATAGATGAGTAAAACTTTTAATAGCATTAAAAGACAGGTACTGTAGGGGATAGGTAAGAATAGATACAGTAAAAAGATGCAATCTTGCTGAATGACAAGTCAAGGAATAATGAGTTTTAGTTGATAGAACTAGAGATAATAGCATGTTTGAGCAGCTACTATGTAGTATTTGTAGAAAAGATAAGGAGATGCAACTTTATGGCAATCGGACAGTGACTCAAGCTTGGCAGGTATAACAACAGTATTCCATACAGGGATGAATAAGAGATATGTAGAGGTAGAAAATGGAATCGAGAGTAAGGAAATGGCTAGCACGATAAAGAGATGCAACTTTAGCAGATACTAACTTTGCAATGGATTTGATATATAGTTTCCATGAGGCGTCAGTAGTAAATAATAATCCAAAAAAGTTTTAAGGTAAGGAATTCAGTAAGAGGGTTGCTGTTCATCAATATAGGGATGTATATTGATGAGTCCAGACAATAGCTATTGATTGTTGCTATTGTATTAATAGCTAAAATTAATAGAATCTGGAAAATAGCTATTAATTGTAACTATTTTTTGGGTTCTATTGATTGTAGTACTATTGTCTGAATTATATTGATTGTAGCTATTGTGTGGATTTTATTGATTGTAGCTATTATGAACTAAAACCAGTTGTTCTTCTTCCATTAAATATTTATTACCTCAAGTCTTTCTTCTAAAGTTAATTTTTTCTCCTCCATTAAACCTTAATAACCACAATAAATATCCTTTAACCACAATAAATTTCAATTTTAAGCTGATTATAGCAAAGTGGAAGCTTTATTTAGTAGAGATTGATTTTAGAGGGAGATGATTCTTTGTTTAACTTTCCCCTGTCTTAAATTTGCACCATAAATTTTAGATGCAAAAAAAAAGTTCAAAAACTTGTTTGTTTGTTTTTTTAATTTTTGTCTCTCAACAGCATTTAAAAATAGAATTTTTTACTTTACACAATACACAAAGTAGAAGTGATGGTTCTTTGAAAAAATGTTATCAATAATCTTGTTTACTTCAGGTAGAAGTGTTAACCTGTTTTATTTATTATCAGTAATCTAATAAAAATAAATATTGTTTTACCTAACTCAGTTAAAAGCATTTTGTCATTTTCTTAGTCTAGCAAAATATGAATTAAGTTATTGGAATTTTACAACCAAAGTTATTTTGCTAAAGAAAGCAGACCAATTTATTTTGCTAAAGAAAGCAGACCAATTTATTTCTTACTCTTTTAAGACTCAAATCAAAAAATTTTAAAAGGAGGTTTTAATATTGTCTCATAAGTTCATATGTATAACACAGGTCAGAAATTGATTTTCGAACACCCAAAATTTTTAGATTAAAAAATAAGAAACAGATTCTTTTTAAGAAACCAAAACTGTAAAAATTACGATCCTGCAGGTGCACATTTTCAGAAAAAGGGGTTTTATTTAAAATTTAAAAGAGGTTGGACCTTTAACCAATGACTTCTGGAGCATATATGAAATTTTTATAAAATTTTGTTTTAAATAATTACAAAGATATTATCCAAATGCCTAATTCCTCCTCATTTGGGGCAGGCAGTCCGAAATTTATGTGCTTTTTCTCAGGCTTCTATTGTCAGTTTTTTTGATACACACCTGTCTTTGTATGACCATATGATTTTATATGAATATACGACTTAGTCTGCAAAAGATTTCAGTCTTCAAAATGTCTGATTATGTCTATTTAATTATTAAGTTTTTGGTTTAGCTTTACTAAAAATCATTTAATGAAATCAGCCTACTAAAACACTACATGTTCATGTTGGTAAACACAACTTTTTTTTTTCAAAAATTGTATTCATATAATTTATTTATATAATTTGCAATCTTTTAAGTTGTCTGTCAATCGTTATCTTGCTCTAGAATCTTAATCTTTTCTCTTCCAGTAACTTCCAACACTTATTAGTGGTTGCTTGCAGCCTTGTTCGAAACGAAGATGTTTAAAAAAAAAAAGTGAAATCTGTTTACAATAGATTTTATTATTTGGTGTGCAGCTTCTGTTAATTGCTCATTATATCTAGACAGATAGAATTTATTGTATAGACTTTCCACATCACACTGAGGTTCTAATTCAAATACTATAATACATTAATGTATATAAGAAAAATACTAAAAAAAAAAAAAAAATAAACATAAAAATCCATCACATTACCAAACTGTTTTTATATATCTTTTACAAATATATGTGTTCTTTGTCAAAGTTATTCAACTTTCCATCAGTTGAATCTTACCTCTTACAATTTAAATTTGGCTATTTCTTTTTTAGATCTCAGTGTTGGTGGCTACTTTTCTATGATTCACAAGAATTCCAGTTAAACAGGTTAACCCAATGATAGACATCGAAATCACTCTGTCTTCCATTGCTTAAGTCATTTCTCAATTAAACTTTTCTACTGCTTGTGGTCCAGCATTCCTATCATAATCTTAAAAAAGTGTTTTCTAAAACTCTCTTCATTTCTCAATAAACTATTTAATAAGTGCTTGACTGAATCTTGTGCTATCTGCTTGAAATTGGCATCTATGGTTTTAATTCTTTAATATTCTGGAGAGCACTTTGACCCCTCAAACTTTTGTTTGATCTTCTCTATTATTAGCAAGGTCTTTGAGTCTTCAATTACCAAATTTCTAACATCCCATTTTAAGTCTAATATCTCATTCTTCGACAATCACTATGTTTTTCAATCTTCTTGCTCAATGGCTAACTTGCTAACTGCTATGGCTAAAAGATTATATCGCTTGTTATATAGAGGCAAGGGTTATTGCCCTTAACATAACAAAAATTTTTGACTTAAATTAACAAAAAGTTTGATATGCTGTTCTTCTCCATATGCTTGCTTCATATGGTGTATCTAGGAAATATTTGAGATTATCAAATCATTTTTTTCTAACCGCCTTATTAAAGCCATCCTGGAAAGCCAACACTCTTCTTCATTTCCAGTAATTTCTAAGGTGATTTTTTGACAAAAGATTTAGGGCTTAAGTATCGAAAATTTGCTGTGTTACTGAAAATGAGAGTATTATTGACTTTAGAATAACTTTTGAACCATTAATACATTTGACTTGAAATTTTCTATAGTGACCCACCAACTATAAAAAAATAAAATTCCAAATTTTTTTTTAAAAATTGTGATAGTTCAGAATCTCCTATTTTACAGTCTGAGATTTTTTACTAATTTATATATTTTTGACTTTTTAATAACTTTTGAATCGTTATTATATTTGACTTGAAATATTTCATAGTGATCAAACAACTATAAGAAAATAAAAAACCAAATTTTTTTAAAAAAAGTTTGTTGCGATTATCCAGAATCATCTATTTTACAGCCTGAAGATTTTTACATTATTTTCCTTTTTTTAGAGAATAAAATTTGGAGTTATTTTATAATTATACCATGCAAATATGCTTAAAAGAATCATGGAATCCAAAATATTGTTTTGAAAACTATTGCATAATTTACAGACAGGCCAGTGAAATAATCGCATAAATTACAGATTGGTCAGTAAATTGCTGAAAATGGGCTCTACAAACAAACTGAACATATCAACTTTAAATAGTTTGATATTTTTTTAAAATTTGTGATATTTTTGAACTGTTATTATATTTGACTTGAATTTTTAATTAGTAATCTAGTTTTTATTAAATCTGTCAGGATTATCCAGAATCGTTTATTTTACAGGCTAAAGGGTTTCTACTTATTTAATTGTGCTATGAGGGAAAAAATTAGGGTTACACTATGAAAATAGACATAAAGGAATCAAGGAATCTTAAAAATACATCATTTTGAAATTATTGCAAAATTTACAGACCAGTCAGTAAATTCCTGCAAAAAGGTTACACAGTTGCAATATGGCTTTGAATGTATTTCATAATTTCTAACTGTTATTACATTTGACTTGAAATTTTCGATAGGGATACAAAACCATAAGAAAATTAAATGCCATAATTTTTTACACTTGTCGGGATTATCTAGAATCGTTAAATTTACAGACTGAAGTGTTTTTACTTATTTAGCTAGTCTTGGAGAATAAAATTTCGAGTTAAATTATAAAAACTCCATGTAAATATACATAAAGGATCATAGAATCCAATTAATTCATTTGTTCAAAAATATTCCTTAATTTACAGACCAATTAGTAAATTACTGCGTAAGGACATTGAAATCTATCTGAAACATTCAGAATTACCTATTTAACAGACAGAAGATAACAAATAAAGTTATAATTTAAATTTAAATAAAAATAACTTACAGCAATAGAGCTTCCTGAAATTTTTAGTACTTACATCAGCAATAGCAGGTGTAACAGCAGAAACTCTATCTAAAAATATAATAAAATTGTTGTTAAAAACACAGATACACAATAATTTTTAAAAAGTATTTGTTAATTCGTTTTAAAAATCAAAAATTAAAAAAAAATTGTAAATTAACAATTAAAACTAAATAAATATAAAATGAGAAACTTACTCTTTGAGAATGTTTATGTAAACTATTGGCAACACCAAAGATTTAAAAAAAAAAAAAAAACATTAAAATAAAAAATGTTGTTATTCTACAACTTATCTCTTGGCTTTTAGTGAATGATTAGAAGTAGCAAGTTTCATTTATGAAACAACCTAATAATCATTTTTAACAATAGAGACCAGCAAGAAGGTAAGCCAAGTTGTCTATCAACACAAAACATCACAACAATAACATCACAATCACAAAAATTACAGACCCTGTGATACTAAACGCTGCAAATTCACACTAGTGTCAATACTTAGCTAACAAGGTTAACTTCTATCCTTAGCCCTTTATCATTTCTAACCAACATTAATGATCATCCTGAAAAGCTCACAGGTGGCTCTATTTGTCAATGACATAAGAAACATATGGATTTGAATCATCTTGATTTGGAGCTGACCTGTTAACTGTCATTACAGCAAGGTTTAAAATTATAATTAGATAGCACATTCTATTGCTCTGGATGATCTAGATCATTGCTAAGTTAGTATTTGTATACAATAGTATAATAACAAAATAAATAACGTGTATACGATAATATAATAATAAAATAAATAACAGTTTTTTTTAAATACTTTCCATTCATTTTCTTTTTCCTGATTCATATATTTTTTGTCATTTATTAATCGCTATAATCTTCAACTTGGGTCTTCCAGTAACTACCAACTCTAAAAGTGGTTGCTTCTAGCCTTGTTGGAAATGCAGATAGTTAAAATAAAAAGTCAATCTCGCATGATTTAACAATGTTGATGACTTGCTACCTTCAGTTAATTGTTCTATCCCTACTTCTAGCCAAACAGTATCAAATAGTTTTTCCAGCAATAATTTGGAAGCTTAAATTAAAAGTAAACCTAAATTAAAGTCAAAACAAAGAAAAGAAGGGATAAAAATAAAAAAAGGGATCAATAAAGTTTGCTTTTAATAAATAAAAGTATTAAAATACAAAATATTTGTGATTATGTTAAAAATTAAAGGAAGTAGGTCTAATTAATTCAAAAATGTACTATAACTTATGGAAGATATAAGTCCTTCACAAAGGTCACTTTTGAACCTTTTGAAGTTGATATGATTTTTTTTTTTTTTTTTTTTTTTTTCTTTTTGAAAAAAACAGTTTAAAGAAGGCCAATCTGTAATCACAATAGTCTGTTGAATAGATAGATAGTAGCCTAAAACCAAACTTAAAGTTTTGATAAACAATCAAGAGTCCAATCAGAGAATGCCTCTAAAAAAAATTAGATTATTTTTTTTAGTTTATTACCATTTTAAGAACTTCACTTTTAATTTCATATTTAGAATTCAAATAAGGTCCTTATTTGAATTCTAAATATAAAATTGAAAGTGAAATTTATCCTTATTAATCCTTAAGCCTTAATAAGGATTAATAAGGCTATATATAAGGATTAATCTAAGGGTGTGAATAATTAATTTAAGTTCCTTAAATTAATTATTCACATCTATAAATTAATCCTTATATTTCCTTATTAAACCTTGTTACAAACTTTTGTTCTTTCCATTATTTTTGTTTGTTATTCAAAATAAAAAAACTTTTTATTCACACTCTTAATAAGGATTATTTCTTATTCACATCCTAAAACTATTTCTTATTCACATTCTTAAAATAAATCCTAATAAAGATGTGAATAAAAAATCATCCTTATTAAGTTTTGATAAGGATTATTTCTTATTTACATCCTTACTAAGGCTTAATTTAAGGATGTGAATAAGAAATAATTTAAAGCTGTGAATAAGAAATAATCCTTAATAAGGATTATATCTTATTCACAGCCTTAAATTATTTCTTATTCACTTAAATATTAGCTAATTAGGACAGTTCATTTTATGAAATTAATATATAACTGCTTTAAATGGTATCAAAATCTTTGTTCTTTCCATCACTTTTGTTGTTATGAAATATATGAAATTTGATGTTTTTTTCAATGTTGACAATAAACATATATGAAATTTGATGTTTGTTTTTTTTTCTAAACTAATTTTTAGCTAAACTATTTAGCTAGTATTTAAGTTTCTAATTAAGTGAAAAAATAATCATAGAGCTAACGCAAAAATTTATTTATAACTTAGTAAACAAACGCAAAAATCAAAACAAAACGTTGTAAAGTACGCGAAAAAAAAAAGCATATAATGCATATATAATTATAAAACAAAATTCCTAAGCATCAAATCATCAAGAATACATAAGTAAATACTTGATTTAGAGAGAGGAAGGGCCATACTTGTTTTTTGGACAGCAAACCTTTTAAAAAAAGTTTTTTTTTTAACAAAATTGACCTTGAAGTTTTTAAATGTTAAGAAATAAAAATTTTTGTATAAATTTGAAAAAAGTTCCCATTTCCATCTGATTCCTCATTCTTTTTTTAGTTTATATGGAAATTTTCATGCAAATTGGATGTGTTTTAGTACTTAGGAAATCTTACCTTCAAAAGCTACTTTTTAAAAAACGTGTCTGCTGCAACTTTTTTTAGCAAAAGTGGTCTCAAGATATTGATAATATTTAAGTGAAGCCAAATGAAGCATAGTACTTTCTATATATGGTTGGAAAGAGGTTGAGTAACCGTACAAAAAGATACAAGAGAGTTAAGTTTATGAAAATTTGGTGTTTTTGGTCAAACATCAAATGTTTTTCATAGTGCCGTGGAGTTGCTAACAGTGGCTTGTGAATTTAACTTATGACTTCACCAGTGGCTAACAGTGGCTTGTGAACTTAACTTATGACTTCACCAGCTAATAAAACGTTTATACAAATCTTTTCTTGGTGTACCGTTAGAAAAGATATAAGATTGTTCTTGGTGTTGCAAATAATCAGTAGTGTGATGACAACATTGTAAATTCTACCAAACCCCAGATAGATAACTTGATGAACATATCTACCAGAGTTGATTTAAAAATAGCAAATTTAATTTTGAAAAAGATTTGTGATTAGCATAAAAAGTTATGCAAAAAAAAATTAAAATTTACTGATAGCAAATTTTCCAAGAATTTTATGCCCATTATAAACAAAAAAAGAAGTTGAAAATTATTAACCTGACAAATAAAAAAAAACATTTTTTTTTTTTGGTTAAATTTTATATCATTTTATTTACAACAAAGTAAAAAAAAAAATTATTTACAATATGATTGAAAATTATATGCAAAAAATTTATTCAATATTTAAGACCAAAAGAATAGGTTTAATTAATTAATGAAGAAAATTATACAAAAAATTAATTAATAATATTTTTGTTTAGAATCCAGTTGGGAGATGCCAGAAGTTTTTAAAGATCTTGAAAGAAAAAAGTAATCTTGTTTAATTTTTAATCACAAATAGGAAGTCTCACAGTAGTATTCTTCTTCTAAAAGTAATACTCTGAAGCTCAAAGTCTTAAAAGCCTTTAAAATCTTAATATACTAAAATTGTTTTATGATGTCTGGAGTCATATTTTTATATTTGCTCTCAAGAAATTTTATTAAGGTATAGTCTATTGTTAAAAAAATACTGACAACATAAATACACATATTCTGTCTTCACTTATGAGTTTACTTATGAGGTTTGCATTGTATATAAAGTATTTCAAATGGTGACTATATATCTAATATTTCTATTGACAAAAAAAAAAGGTATATATCCTTGTTATTCAAGTTGTAATATATCATTTACTATCACAGCCTGCTAAATATATTAAGGATTGATTTGTAATTACAAAAATTTCTCTAAAATGATATCATGTCGCCAAATAAGTTCTAATGAGTTTCGGCTCAATCCAAATAAAGCAGAAGATGTCTCATTTGGATTTATGAAATAATTTGGTAAATTCAACAATTATCTTAAAATTCTCTAAAACAACATTAACTACTGTAAGTTTAGTAAAAATCCTTAGCATCCTAGATTCACAATTACTCTAGATACAACACTCTATGGGCCAGCATCCAAAACAATACTGTTAAAACCTGCAACTACCATATTTGTGCTCTGTCCATATCTCACTAAAGAAACTGCAAACACGCTTGTATTTTATTATTATTTTATTACATAATCAAAAAAACATAATTTTATAACATAATTCTATAACATAATAAGTAAACAATGGTTAGTGGATTCCATACCCCTAATTTTCATTCTATTGTTTTAGTAGGAGTCAAGGAGTAAATACAAAATTATACCAAACTATATAGACTAAGTTCTGGAGTGTAACAATGTTTTTTATAATAATCGTAACTGCTATAACAAAAATATATGTTTAATATGTTTGCTTGATCAAATAATGAAAAAAAAAAATTAGTTTTTATAAATTATAGTTTTTTTTACTGTTTATGGAGTTTTTAAACTATTATTTTCTTCAGAGAAATGTGTGTGGAGAATATTTTGTGTGTTTGTAATGAAAAACAACTAGTTGTTGTAATTTATGTTAATTCATGTGTACAAATAGATCTGATGAAAAAACAGCTGATAAAAAATCATCCAAAATTCTTGTAAGTAAATCTTTATTTGCTATTTTTTAACATATTGTTTTATATAATTTTCTTAAAAATCTTGATGACTAGTGTTCTTTAATATTTATGTATATCTGTATAAACAAAAAAATGTTTGCATCTTGAAACCTTCATTTGACTTATAATTTAATATTAACCAACTCTGTTCAAAATGTTCCATTGAGTCCTATAGAGTTTTCGAACAAAATAAAGTGTCAGCTTGATTCGAATTAAACTAGTAAGTCAAAAAAAAGTTTTAAGTTATCAATTTTTTTGTTATTTCATTTTTCTTCCATCTTATAGGACTGATAGTGTGTTATGACTAATGAAGAATTTCTTTTTCTTTTTTTATTGGTGTAGCTATGTAGCATTTTATTGGTGTAGCTATGTAGCATTTTATTGGTGTAGCTATGTAGCATTTTATTGGTGTAGCTATGTAGCATTTTATTGGTGTAGCTATGTATGTAGCATTTTATTGGTGTAGCTATGTAGCATTTTATTGGTGTAGCTATGTAGCATTTTATTGGTGTAGCTATGTATGTAGCATTTTTAAAAGATTACTTTGCTAAGTTATGTTGCTACAAAATTAAGGGAAAAAATTTTCTGAAAACAACATATTTATATTAACTATGTTTAAAAACACAGAGAAAATAGAAACAGTCTTCTTGACTTGTATGTGTGACAAGATTACTTGTTCACCATATTTTATTGTTTAAGTCGCCATTAAATTATTTTTATCCATTTTCATAGATTTTTACATTCATTAAATTATTACCAAGTTGAATTAAATTTCTTACCAAAAGGTTCATTTCTTACCAAAGGTAAGAAGAAAAAAAGAACTTCATTGACTGGTTATTTTATGTTATCTGTTTTTTACAATTTATATTGTCTGTTTATTATATGTTTACTAATTGTTTGTTTGTACAGTTAGTTGATCATCTAAAGTTGGTTCAATTCAATAATATTACAAAATTACTTCATTGGAAACTTCGCTAATGACTAAAATTGGTGTATTTTTAAATTCTTAAGTTATTGACCTGTTATCTAGTGCAACAGTTAATGCTTTAGGTGTGTACAAAAAACTATAGCTTGGAGGAAGAATGCTACTATAATAACAAAAATGTGTTAATTTAGAACTGTTCCCATACTGTTTTGTAAAAGAAATTAACAGACTTAATCTATTTTAAAATTGACTTACAAAGCAGTCTTTTTTTCAAATTTGGACAGGTTGCAATTTAATTTACTAAAGTTTATCTAGAAAAATAACTCAATGTGACAAAGCACATGAATCTTTTTAAAATTTTTTTATGGAGTTTGATGTGTTGAACATCAATATACAAAGCAGAAAGAAAAGGGTGTAGTTATTTTTTGCAATAAAATCAATGGGTTGGTTGTACATAATGTTGGTCAATGTGACTTTTCATTGAATGAATATATGATTAAAGTAGGCATTGATGAAGGCAATGATTTTCCTATTGAAAAATAATGACAAATCTTTTATGACTCAGGTGTGAAGAAACTGATAATCTTTGTAATTAAGTTTCTAAAAGAAACTTTTATGAGTTTTAAGAATTACTTTAAAGTGTTGCTCCTTTAAATACAAACTATAAAATAAATAATTACTGTTTGTATTTAAATCTTAAAATGCTAAAAATCTATCAAAATTTTTTATTGATAATAAAATTAGTATCGAGTAAACTTAATTGTGTTGATGTTTACAAATATATATATATATATATATATATATATATATATATATATATATATATATATATATATATATATATATATATATATATATATATATATATATATATATATATATATATATATATATATATATATATATATATATAAATAGGGGAAGTGGGGGCATAACTGCTCCTGTAACGTTTGAATTAATATTATATGAAAATAAAAACAAAATGTGTTTTTTTAACAGTTTATTTCAATAACCACATTATTAAGCTTTATATTGATGCAGTTAAGAAAAAAATTAAACGGTTTTTGAAAATGTTGTAACACAAAAATTACACTTAGTGAAAAAACGGTTTTGTCCCCATTATGAGGCACAAGCTCACCCTCAAAAATTATTGGGGGTACACCTTGCTTGGTACAATCTAATATCCAACATCTCAAAACAAAGATATTTCTATTCAAGTTTTTACATTAATGCATTCAAGTGTGACGATTTGTAATAATTATTATTCGTAATTACCTAACTTTGATAAATATCAAAAGTATGCGTTTGTGCCTCCTGTGCGTCTATGTAGTTCTGCTCCAGAGGATAGTTTTTAGAAAGAATACAGTTTCATAGCTCGCTTTTTAGGTTATGTTGATATCAGAAATAGTTTTTACTTTACATTTTTCAAAGGGAAATGTTATCTAATATGACAAAAAAATGAAATTGAAATTGAAAAAATGTTATCTAGTATGACATAAAACATACCCTTTGAAAAATGTTATCTAATATGACAAAAAACATACCACGCGTTAGTAAAACAGTTTCCTTCATTTCGCTTATGTCAAAAAGTGCCTGTTGCGTTGCTGAGAAGTTGTGCATAATAATATTTATTTTGATTAAAATATTATATTTACACCATATTTTTCTAGAGCTTTCTTTTAACGATTAAGCAATATTTGATTTTAGTGTTAAACATATGTGTTATCAGCGTTATTTTATCAAGTAAAAACTATTTCTGATATCAACATAACCTAAAAAGCGAGCTATGAAACTGTATTCTTTCTAAAAACTATTTTTGTGTTACAACATTTTCAAAAACCGTTTAATTTTTTTCTTAACTGCATCAATATAAAGCTTAATAATGTGGTTATTGAAATAAACTGTTAAAAAAACACATTTTGTTTTTATTTTCATATAATATTAAATGTTATCTAATATGAAAAACGTTGTAAATGTTATCTAATATGACCAAAAAAAAAAATTTTTTTTTTTTTTCTGCTGTTTGAATAATAAATTTTTTTAAATTAACCTTAGAATAAAAAAGATCCATATAGACAAACAAAACCAGCTTTAGTTGAGGAAGTGCATAATGTTCACCCGTTGTTAGGAGGATGGTCGACAATTTCAAAACAAGATGACAATGAATGTGGTGATAAGAAATTGGTTACAGAAAGGTATTACTTAATTTATTAATTACTCTTTGTACCAGTAAAATATAAACCGATTATTTTTTTTTTTAGCTCTAATGAACAATCCAGCAGTGACGCTCATGGTAAAGCCTTTGACCATTCTTTTATGTGCTTTCGCCTAGCACCTCTTCACTCTATCACCTTTCTCTTTGTTCTTTATCGTTCTCCTTCTTCCCATGATTGCACTCTTTTAGATGTTATCTCTGATCAAATTGACCATGCCCTCTCTCTTTACCCCTCTGCCAATATTGTTGTTGTTGGTGATTTTAATGCCCATCACACTGAATGGCTTGGCTCTAACACCACTGATCCTGCTGGCACTAAAGCCTTTAACTTCTGCGTTTCTCAATCTCTTACTCAGATAGTTAACTTTGTGACTCGTTTTCCTGACAACCCTAATCATTTACCTTCACTCCTTGACTTATGTCTTGTCTCTGACCCTAGCTTATGTTCTGTTTCTCCCTTTTCTCCCTTAGGTGGTTCTGACCATGCAATGATCTCTATAAATCTTTCTTCTCGTACTTCTTTTTTGGGCTCACCTTATCATCGCACCACCTACTACTACCCTAAAGCTGACTGGGATTCCTTTCGTGATTTTCTTCGGGATGGTCCCTGGGCTCATGTTTTTTCTCTCCCAGCTGACAAATGCGCCTCCTACGTTACCTCCTGGATTCAGGCTGGAATGGAAGCTTTTATTCCTTCTCGTCGGTTTCAAGTCAAGCCTCATTCTACTCCATGGTTTTCTCCTTCTTGTGCGGCTGCTATATCCAATCGTAATCATTTTTTTTCATCTTTTTCAAAAGAACAACTCTCTTGAGAACAAACGGCTATTTATTATTGCAAGAAATCGATGTAAAAAGGTGCTTTCTGATGCTAAACTCCATTATTCTCAGTTCACTAAATCTCGCATCTTATCGCAGAAGTTAGGCTCTAAAGACTTTTGGAAAATCTTCAACAGCATTGTTAACAAGGGTAGATCTAACATTCCATCTCTCATTCATGGGACTGATCTTGTTTCCTCTCCCAGGGATAAGGCAGAACTGTTTGCAAAGAACTTTTCTTCTAATTCCACTCTTGAATCTTATGGACATTCTCTTCCTTCCATTCCAGTCAAACAGGTTGACCCATTGTTAGACATTCAAATCACTCCGGCTTCTGTTGCTAAAGTCATATCTCAATTAAACTTGTCTACAGCTTGTGGTCCAGACAACATTCCTGTCACAGTCTTGCAGAATTGTTCTCCAGAACTTTCTTCAATTCTCTCTAAACTATTTAACAAGTGTTTGACTGAGTCTTGTTTTCCTGCTTCTTGGAAAATGGCATCTGTAGTTCCAATATTCAAAAACTCTGGAGAAAATTCTGACCCCTCCAATTATCGTCCGATCAGTCTTCTTTCTGTTATTAGCAAGGTCTTTGAGTCTTTGATCAACAAATTCCTCACATCTCATCTTGAGTCAAATAAACTGCTGTCAGACAATCAATACGGTTTTCGATCCTCTCGCTCTACGGCCGACTTGCTAACTGCTGTAACTGAAAGATTTTATCGTGCATTAGATGGAGGCGGTGAGGCTAGGGCTATTGCTCTCGACATATCTAAAGCTTTCGACAAAGTTTGGCACGCTGGTCTTCTCCATAAGCTTGCTTCATATGGTGTTTCTGGAAAAGTTTTTGAGATTATCAAATCATTTCTTTCTAACCGGTTTATTAAAGTCATCCTTGAAGGCCAACACTCTTCTTTATTTCCAGTAACTTCTGGGGTTCCCCAAGGTTCCATCCTGGGCCCTGTTTTGTTTCTTATCTACATAAACGATCTTCCTGACAACCTTTCATCTAAAGTAGCTCTTTTTGCTGATGACTCAACTTTATACTCCTGTCTTGACAAAAAGTCTTCTCTTTTCGATCGCCTAGAACAAGCAGCTGATCTTGAATCCGATCTCACTTCAGTAATTGATTGGGGTTCACAGTGGCTTGTGAATTTCAACTCTAAAAAAACCCAATTGCTTACTGCAAACAACTACCGTAATATGGTCAACATTCCTATATTAATGAATGGCAATCCTCTTACTGAGTCATCCTCTTTACGTCTTCTTGGATTATCGCTTACTACTGACCTTTCATGGAAACCATATATACAATCGATTGCTAAATTAGCTTCTGCTAAGGTTGCTTCTCTTTATCGTGCTCGCCATTTCCTTACTTCTGATTCCATTCTCTACCTCTACAAATCTCTTATTCGACCCTGTATGGAATACTGTTGTCATATTTGGGCTGGTTCTTCTAACGATTCACTTTCTCTTCTTGACAAGGTCCAAAAACGCATTGTAAATGTTGTTGGACCTGGACTATCTGCTAAGCTTGAACCTCTTTCCCATCGTCGTAAAGTTGCATCTCTTTCTCTTTTCTATAGATACTATCATGGTCACTGCTCAAAGGAGTTATCATCTCTAGTTCCATCAACTAAAATTCATTCTCGTTTTACTCGTCATTCAGCTAAGTCTCATTCGTTTAATGTATCTGTCCCTGCATGCTCTAAAAACTTTTATTCGTCTAGTTTTTTTCCCCGCACTTCAATCCTTTGGAACTCTCTCCCATCTTCATGTTTTCCTGACTCATACAACCTCCAACTTTTTAAGTCTTCTGTCAACCGTTTCCTTGCTCTATAACTCTGTTCTTCTTTTTTTTCCTAGTAACTCCCAACTTAATAGTGGTTGCTTGCAGCCTTGTTGGGAGTGAATGCAAATAAAAAAAAAAAAAAAAAAAAAAAGCCAAATTTGAAGTGGAGAAAGCGTTTAAAGAGAAAATGTTAAAGACTCGCATAGATGACATATCTGAAACACCAGTTGAGTTTAAAAAGAGAAAAACAACAAATAGAAGTGTTCGTAAACGAGACGAAGATGACACATAAAAGCGTTGATAAAAGGTTTGTTTCAAAATCTTGTGCTACAAAATGGATTAAAATTTTACCGTTAAAAACATCAAAGGTTTTAATAAGATCTAATGATGGAATGTGTGAGTTAAAACACGATTATTCAAAAAAACATCGTCAAATAGTTGACCGTGACTAATTATAGTCGAGTAGTTGAGTCGTAATCAATATTTTCTTTTAAATCAAATTATAATCTGCTCTGTGAAATGATCAAATTATAATCTGCACTGTGATTTAATTATGACTAAACTCTGATAATTTAATATTTAAATGCAAATAAATACAATAACGTATTTCTATTTTATTGTGTTGTACCTTTACTTTTTCCTTCTCGAAGTTATTTACTTAGGAAATCTATTTATGCAAATTATATATTTTTATTATTCTTTATTGTTTAACTGAAATAAAAGTGTTACTATGAGGTTGTAGGAAAATGGTGGTTTGTGATACAGCATTCGCTCCCTTCATCTTGTTTTCCTGATTCATATATTTTGCAATCTTTTAAGTCATCTGTTAATTGTTATTTTGCTTTAAAAACTTCATCGCTTCTCTTCCTGTTTTAACGCCATTTTCTTAGAAAGTTATATCTTTTTACAAAACTCAGTATATGTAAAAACAAAAATAAAATTTGCAACAAAATAGATAGAAGAAAACATTTGGGTGTACCTTTTTTAAACTTTTCAAACTTTTTACGGATTTTTATTGAACTTTGTGAATTCAAAATAACTGTGTTGTGGAACGCTTTTTAATAACATGTCATAGAATCATTTTGTAAAATACGACTCTAGGCAAATGCAAAGTTTTTGCGAACCATTATCTTATTCGTAATTGATGATGTAAAAGTGTTTCTAGCCGATTACTAAGATTTATTATTTTAATGGTCTTGGAACATTAATGTCTAGTTTTAATGGTCGTGATGAGTATTTATGAAAAATAGTATATTGAGAAAATTTATTCTTTTTAATATAAAACTTGTTAAATGAATCAAAAAATGAAGTCTATTAAATATTATTGGTTCCCAGCCAACATTTAGTTCAACTACATGCTACCTTTTACTAAAGTTGTATTCTTTTGCATACTCTCTATGTTATATGTAGCATATAGATTTAACAACGTATGGATTTTTTTTTTCATTATATTGAATATTAAGGAAAAGTGATGTCTATTAAATGCATTTTTTCATCGTAAGCATAACAAAAACTTAACTTTTAAGTCATTTAAAAATCTATTTCAAAATCAGTTTATAAAATAAAAAACAATGAAAAGCATTTAACCTCGCTCACTTTTAATTGTTATCGAATAGCAAGTAAACATTTCCCCGACGCTGTCAAAAAAAAAATTAAAAATTATAACCTTTTCAAGCAACACACAAAAATCAAAAAGCTAAAAATTACCAACCCAAAAAGTTTCAGAAATACCTTCAGATTTTTAAGGCTCAAAATTATTTACTATAAATAATAAATAGGACAATGAATCAATCACTAAAGAATTTGCTAATAGTTTCGAAAAACGTTTCCACTCCAAAGCAATGACGCTTATCGCTTCGAATTTTCAAGTTCCACCTTATACCAATTGTATCTCTCGCCTAAATATACACAAGACCAAAGATGCGTTTGGAATCTTTGCAGAACATTTAAAACATGTACTTTGCAACCTAACAGAGTGGCTAAGGAAATTCTTTAACTTTAATATTAATCGTGTTCAGGCCCCAAAATCGATGTCTACATCACTTATTATACCTCTTGCTAAATCTTATAAAAAATCAATTATTGATCCGAATAACTACCGTAGTATTAGCATCATTCCAATCTTTACAAAACTAATAGAATACCTTATTTTAATAATCTATCCAGAGATAAAAGAAATTTATCCTCTTTAATTCGGTTTTAAAAAAAACAGCTCAACCTTACATGCCGAATTTGTTATAAGTGAAATAATAAAATTTTACAACAACAATAACTCACCTGTCTATCTCTGTTCCCTAGATGCTGAAAAAGCATTTGACAACTGTAGCTAGGACATTCTATTAGAGAAACTCTACGACAATAAAAAATTCCACTTTATATTATTAAAATTTTATCGTCATTGTAACATGAAAGCAGTGCTTCTGTCACTTATCTAGGATGCAAATCATATCCGTTTTATATAACACAAAGAGTGAAACAAGGATTGATTCTGTCTCCCCATCTGTATATTATATATACTCAAAGCCTACTTAAAACCATACAAAATGATTGTATCGTAGGAACACCAATTTATGGAAATTGCACAGGTGTTGTACTATACGCTAATGACATCATACTTCTTAGCTCTACCCTGTCTGGAGTTAAAAAGTTTATCGCAGCTTGTAATACATAGGCTAACGCAAATTGTATAAAGTTGAATGCTGACAAGACCGAGTTCTTGTTCATCTGAAAAAATAAATTGCTAACTGCACAATAACAGTTGACCACCAACAAATAAAACTGGTTGATAAACTTAATTATCTGAGTTTTATATTGGATACTAAAAGCTTTTGCCTCATTTAATCGTTCAAATATTGATAATAGAATATCAAAATTCAGGGAAATAATCCAAACTCTTATTCAGTATGGAGTCCTCTTTGCTCATCCAAGCTCTATTATCCAACTATATAAAACATTGGCAGTTATGGTACTTACGTATGGTCTTGAACTCTGCAATTATAAAAACATATTAATGCAAAAGCTTGATATAGCAGGAAGGAATGTACTTAAATCACTCTTCAATGTTTCCAAACACAGCAAAAATTATATTCATTTTTTGTTTTACATCCAAGAAGTATCAACAATCGTACAGCAAAACAAGTTAAACTTATTTACTCGCATATTGAGCAATAAAATAACCTTGGATATTGTAAATTCGCAGATCAAAAACTAAACCGCAAGGCATCTTTTTTTAGATGATGTTATGGCTTTATGCAATTGAAATGAACTAAATCCAGAGGACTTTATGTAAAACATAAAAAAAAGATTAAAAATTATTGTGTTGAAAAATATAATTCTTAAAAAAGATCATCAAAGCTATGCAATTGAGTTCTGGAACTCATCGGAGCAAAGGAAAATCTTCAAAGATATTTTTGAAGTAAATATTCCAAGATAAACTTATTTCTTTTCTAAAATGTAACTTTATGAAAATTTACCTTGTATTATATACAGTGGGTGATTAATAAATATAAATAAAATATAAGATAAATTCGTTATACAAAAAAAAAAGTTTGGATCATTGTTTTTGTGTGTCCCTAAAGATTGATTTTTGTTTTTGTTTTTGTTCTATTCTTAAATATTCGATAAATTTATACAATAAGATAGTTAAGTCAATGTTTCAAAACACAGCAAAAAAAATATTTATTCTTTGTTTTACATTCAAGATGTATCAAAAATCGTACAGCAAAACAAGTTAAATTTATTTATTCGCATATTGAGGAATTAAACAACCTTTGGTATTCTAAACTTGCAGTTTAAAAACCAAACCGGTAAGCACTCTTTTCTAGATGATGTCATAAGCTTACGCAATCAAAATGAACTAAATCTAGAGAACTTAATACAAAACAAAAAAAAGTTAAAATTATTGTGTTAAAAAAAATATAATTCCTAAAAATGATCTTCAAATTGAGTTCTGGAACTCATTGGAACAAACGAACATTTTCAAAGATATTTTTGAAGTAAATATTCCAAGATAAACTTATTTCTTTTCAAAAATGTAACTTTATAATAATTTACCTTGTATTATATACAGTGGGTAATTAATAAATATAAATATATTATAAACGAAAAACGTTTTTGTTTTGTTTCGTTTTTTGCCTTTTTTTCTCATTTTCGAACTTTATTTTATAGGTTTTTATTTATTTACTGAGTTTTATTTTGTAGTATATTTCTATTCATTTGTAATAAGTTTTAAAAAAGAGCATCGTTAGTAGAACCAGCCCAAATATCACAACAGTATTCTATACAGGTACGAATAAGATATTTGTAAAGGTGGAGAATGGAATCAGCAGTAAAATAATAGCATATAAAGAGAAGTAACCTTAGTAGAAGCTAACTTTGCAATGGATTATATATATGATTTCCATGAGATAAGATAAATAATCCAAGAAGACGTAAAGTAGAGGACTAAGTGAGAGAGTTTTTTTATTATTATTATAGAAATTCATTATTATAAGAATATCGTTCGTTATCATTCATTATTATGAGAATCATTCATTATTATAGGAATATCGACATTTTTTCAAAAGTTGTTTGGAGTAAATACTTGGAGTAAATAGTTGAAGTCAGTTATAATTAACAATCCAGAGCAAGCCCCAAGCTGTTACAAAAGTGCAATCAGATTCAATTTCGGCTGCCTGTTCTAAACGATCAGAAAAAGAAAACTCTTTGTTAAGGTGGTAGACTGCTAAAAAAATTATTTTTGTATTTTACAATATTTCAATAAATTTTTTTACTTCGAACATGATAAATACATTAGAAAATTCATAATTTTTATTTATTTATTTTTTTTTTTTTCATATATATTTTGGACAAAAACAGGTGATTTTAGGCCAAAAACAGGCTAAAATCTTGGCAAAGATATCTCAAAAAGTATAATTTATTAAGTTTTAATTTTTTGTATTTTTATTTGTTTTATGTAGATAAATGTCCTGAGATAAAAATTTTTGTTGAAAATTTCTTTATTTTAAAGCATCGTTAGATTTTTCAAAGCGCCCAATTAATAATCGAATTTCTGATATTGAGAACAAAAAGTTTGTTGTTTTAAAAGTTTATATTCTAAATTGAAAAATCGTTTTTTTCTAACTTTTTTAGCAGTTTACCACCTTAAGACAGGAGTATAAAGCTAAGTCGTCAGCACATAGAGCCACTTTAGATATAAGATTGTAAAGAAAATCATAAGTGTAGATACAGAATAACAGTACAGAACCAAGAATAGAACCTTGTAATACACTGGAAATGAAGAGTTTAGGTCTTCAAGGATGAATGGTGGTTATGAGGATGGTTGTGGTTAAAAAAAAATATTATGACAAATAATATGAAAAATAAAAAAAAGGGTTAACTAATCTCAAAAATTTTCTTAGGTACAACATATGAAGCAATGACTAGCATGCCAAGCTTTATCGAAAGCTATGATATGTCAAGAGAAGTAGCCTTTGCCTCCCTGCCTCTATCTGATGTACGAGAGAATCTTTCAGTTACAGCAATTAGTAAATTAACTGTAGAATGAGAAAATCAATGTTGTGTTGATTCTCAGAGAGTAAACTGTTAGACTAAAGATGGGAAGTTAAAAGTTTGTTGTATAAAAACTCCTTGACCTTGCTAATAAAAAAGAGAAGACTGATGATCCAAAGTGTTCTTTGGAGTTTTTCAAAATTAGAACCACAGATACCGTTTTTCAGAAAAAGAACAAGATTTATTCACGCACATATTAAATAGTTTAAAGAAAATTTAAAAGAGTTCTGGACACTTTTTTAAGATTATGACAGGAATGTTGTCTGGACCACAAGCCGTAAAAATGTTTAATTGGGAAATGACTTTAGCAACAAGTGAGTTAACCTGTTTAAATTGCATAGCAGAAAGAGTTTGGCCATTAAGTTCCTTATTGTTCTGCAAAAATGTAACCATTTGGTTATAACTTTTAAATTAGATAAAATTTGTAATTTATATTTAGTTAATAAAATAAGTAAAAAAGTTATCTTATTTAGATTAACTAAATAAAATAACTTTTATAAAAATGGAAACATTTTTATAAAAGCTATTTTATTTAGTTAAACGAAAATTAATAGAAAACCGTAATGATATAAAGCATCCCTTATTAAAGTAATCACTTAAATAGTTTGTAATTTTAAAATTTTATAGAATTACATAAATTACTCTGTAAGACGGATGTGCTAGTATTAAGCAGAAATTCCTCAAAATACTAGCACATCTCGCAATTTTCATTGAAAGGAAATAGATATTCTTATGTGTTTTTTAGTGAACAAATCTTTCAGCCTGTAGACAAAAACATAAATAAAACAATGAAAAGGTTTGCAACCTAAAAACTTAATAAATCACTCATAGATAAATTGATGAAAATGACAGTTATATAGTCAAGCAGGACCGGCGCGAATAGATGTCACGTGGGGGATGCCATTACAAATTTTGCCGACTACCTGCTAGATGAGGGCAACAAACCATTGTTGATTTCTTCATTAAAAATAAACAATGATTGGTGCCCCATAAATCAGTTTTCAAAAATAGTCCGGGGGCGGCGATGCCCGACCGTAAAATTAGGTCCTGAAGATGGTACCAAGGCCTGCAAAGACGAGTTCAGCTCATTAAGAGTGAGTTAAAGTATAGCTCACTAAAGTGTGAGTATAAGTGACGTGTTTGTCACGATCCAAACGTAACCCCAAAGCACGTTTATTTTGAGGGCAGTGAAAACAGACGCGGGTGTTTTCAAACCTCCGTCTGTTATGCTCCCCAGTAAATATCCCCATATAAAACTTTAGTACCCAGTAAAAATCTTATATAAAATCTTTACTGTGCTTCGTTAAAAGTAAATGCTGCCGTGATTACCGGTTGGGTTATGAAGTGAGTCGGCAAGGCATGCGCTGGAGAAGAATAAAGTACAACCCCCTGTTACATATGTAACAGGGGGTACAATTTGATTTTTTTTTTTTTTTTTTTTTTTTTTTTTTTTTTTGCAAATATATAATAATCCAAATATATAAATATTTGGATTATTTTTAATATGGTCTTTAACTCCAAAATTTGATTTTTCATTTTATCGGTAGTTGTGTTCTGTTGCTTTTGAGGCGCTCAAGGACGTAAAATAAAATTTATTTTTTTACATCCTTTGAGTCGATGTAGTATAAGATTTTTACACCTACATCTGTTTTACTCCCCAATAAAAGTCTCATATTAAATATTTACTGATATGAGATTTTTACTCCCCCTAAAACTGTATTTTGTGGTATCTTAAAATGCAATACTAAACCGCATCATTTGCAATTGTTTGATTGGCTTAATTTATAAATGTTTTCTGTATATATGTTTACCGTAAGATTGCAAGTTGTCTTGTGTAACTTAAGCGGCTGCTGTTACGCGTGCTGCACATTTTGGTTGTTTCATTGTGAAAAACTAAACGCGTTCTATTGTTTTGTAGTATTTCCCAGGCTTTTTAAAACAATTAACGTTTTTTAGAAACGTTTAAAAAGCAATTGGCGCCAAATTAACTTGGCTACTTTTTGATTCTCCAGTTCACTGTGCTTCTTACCCAATTGCTAAAATAACATTATCTTGTAAGTGAATTTAGACCTCAAATTGAGGACTGTTTTTGTCATGGGTGATCAAAATCACGATCAAAATGAAGACTTTGAACTAGATGCAAATATGTTTGTAATCAAAAGAGGTTTGAAATAGTTTTTTTAATTTTAATTCTTTTTGTAAATGAAACTTGCAACTTTTTGTATGGTCTGTTAGATTTAATTGTAATTTTCTTTTATTCGTATTTTTAAGTAATTTAAGGCTCAATCAATAAATATTACTATATCCTATTGCATATTACTGTATCAATCATTTATTAATAATAATTCATATGTATTGATCATTTATTGCATAATGCATTTGCTCCATTAGTAGGTTTAATATAAATATTATCAATAAATGAGAATTCATGATATAGTATTTTTATAATTATATAAATATAGTATAGATTGTTAAAAGATTACCTTTATATTATCTACCAGTATTAAAAGAAATTTCTGTTTAGTTAGAAATAGAGGACTTGAGAAGTTCTTGACGTTTCTCATTCTTAATTAAAGTAGTCACAATTATCAATAGTCAGTTTTTTAAATATAATTCATTAATATTAATAGAACAGAAAAATTCTATTAATTTGATATAACCTCCTAGGATGTGTCACATCCTAGGAGGGTTAACTTCAATATAAAATTCTACTTGTCTTCTGTCTCTTGATTGATTTAGGGCTAAAGATGGTGTTTTGATAAACATACTTACATTTAGCTTTACTGTACCAGACTATTGTCATGTAGAAAAGTTAAAACAGTATGAGTTAGCATTGTTGCCATCGATGCAGGTACAGCTTTTCTCTAGAATCAAATGAAAACACTCTACTTGGCATCTCTGTGAAACATTAATCCATTCATATCACTCTGGTTTTTGTTTTTAGTTATTTTAACTCTTTTACATCATTCATATTAGAAAATGCTATTTTGAATGTTTGTCCAAACCACATTTCAATTTAAACAAAAAACAAAATTCTACATAAAAAATTGTAAAAGGTGATGTTTAATTTTGTGAAATTTTTTTTTTTTAGAACTCTCTTCAATACTATTCAAGCTAGTTAACAGATATTTTGCTGAGTCTAGCACGTTAGCCTTTTTTTAAAAATTTGTCTTAATATAGTGGAGAAAGTTTTTAAAATTGTGCTGCCACTAGTTTTTGCAATGTTTCAATATTCCTACATTTTTAGATGGTAACTATCTTACTTAGTTTTCTAAGTTTATCTTGGATTATCTTTCAAAAAACTACTCTAATAAAAATCATGTCTAATCCATTGTAAAATTAAAAACTGCTATAATTGCTTCATTTTGTTTTGCTGGTAATTTTCTTACTACTTATTTCATTCTGTATATCTTTGAATCTTTTATTTCTTTAAAACTATGTTCAAAATCACATTTTGAATATAGTTGGATTTGTTCGAGTTGCTTAAACTTCTGTATCATTGTCATTAGGTGGCACATTTTTTGTTCTTTTCTACAAGTACTTTAACAGGGTTGCCACCAAATCAGGAAAAGTCAGGGAAATTTTAAGTCATAAATCAAATATTATGAATATTTGATAATTAAATTTTTTTTTATAATGATCAAATATAAAAAAATTTTATCCTGAAAAAAACTAAAAAAAAACTTTAATAATCAATCAAGATGTTTTATGCATTATCATGATTAAGAGTTAACTTCTGCAATTTGATTTCACTACAAAGCAGAAGTTTCTATTGTTACAACAATGACAATTGGATTTGTTGTAGAATGTGACATTATGGAAGTCAGGATGTCATATCTCAAGTGTGTGTAATAAATTTTATAATTGGATTATAATTGTTAGGTTTCTAATAATTAAAACAAGTTTAAATCAATTTTAAAATAAGTTTAAAATTTTAAAACAAGTTTAAATTTTCTTCTCTGCAAGCTACTAATTACATCAGAATCAACTCTATTTTTTTAAAAAAAACTGATTTTCAACAGAAAGGAAATATAGCATGTTTAGGGGTAATATTTTAATGTTAAGTTTTTGAGTATAAATGATAGAAATATGGAATAAAAGAAAGGGAAAATGAGCCTATTGTCATTGAGAAAATCAGGTAATTTTGTTTAAGAATTATAGTGGCAACCCTCCTTAGCTTAAATTCGATCTTGTAGGATTTGTTATTTAGCATAGTTGCATCATTGAATTAAAAGATTTGAATTAAAAGATAAAAAAAAAAAAAATTAGATTATTAGTGTGCAGTTACAAGAGAGTTTTAGCCATTTGTTTATTACTTAATGATTTAAGAATTAAGAACAAAAAAACAAATCTTATAATGAATTAAAAATGAATTCATAGTTTTATATTTCTGTGCTTTAAATTTTGTTATATTTTAAGGTGGTCGACAGGAAGAGTGTCATTTTGACAAAATAACTTCAAGAATAAAAAAATTGTGCTTTGGTCTGGACATGAAATACATATCCCCAGTAAGCTTTTATATTGCAAAAACTGTTTTTATTTTTATTATATATATATATATATATATATATATATATATATATATATGTATATATGTATATATATATATGTATATATGTATATATATATATATATATATATATATATATATATATATATACACACACACACACACACACAGGGGCTATTCTAGACTGTTTTTGACAGCGTCAACCGTATTTGGGCACTGCCAAAATTAAAAATCAAGGACCTTTTTTTTTTATGGCATATATTGTTTTTACCGCGAATATTCAGCAATATTCTGCTAAATTTCTCTGAGACAGAGGTGTACCACTGGCCATATTTTTTTCGTAGAATAGTCCCTGATATATATATATATATATATATATATATATATATATATATATATATATATATATATATATATAAAACATGGTTAACTGTTAACTAAAAGTTATTCTTGTTTTTTATTTGTTTTTGAAAATAATATTTTAATTATAGCTTTAATATTTATGTAGTATGCAATCACGTGGAAAGTTATTCGTGGCATGTACCCAGGAATTACCACTGTAGAGCTAGACACTCTTGCCGCAGAAGTAGCTGCTTCAATGACTACTAAACATCCAGATTATGCTTTACTTGCAGCAAGAATTGCTATTTCTAACTTACATAAAGAAACAAAGAAAAAATTTAGTGGTAAATTTTATTATTTAGTTATTTCATTCATATAGAATTTTAATATTTTTTTAACAAAACTTGAACTAATTATTTTCTTATAGATACTATTGCTGATTTATATAACTATATTAGTCCTGAGATTAATATGAATTGTCCAATGGTTTCTGAGGAAGTCTATCAAATAGTTCAAAAGAACAAAGAGGTCAGATTTAAAAATATTGTTTAAAATATCAAATGTAAATTTACATATCAATCTTATATAATTTGTAAATAATATTGTTTTAATATTTATTTTCCTTATTTAATTTATATTAGAGGCTAGATGGAGCAATTATATCTAGTCGTGATTTTGAATATCATTATTTTGGCTTTAAGGTATTTTGCTTTAATTTCTTTTTTACTAGTTTTTATAAAGTCAAAAGTATAAATTTATTTCCTAATAGTTTTTTTGAATATTTCAAGTATTTATCTATGCAAATATGAGAGTTTATAAAATAATAATAAAAAAAGGTTTTGTTTTCAAAATTTAAAAGAATAAAATTTTATATAAAAAAACTTCAACCATTTTACCGATAAAAATAACCTTTATTTGATCAACTCTGTTTATACTTTAATTAAAGTTGATTAGTTTAATCTAATAAAGAATCTGAAAAGCTAAAATAATTAAAAACAAATAAAAAAAAGTTTGAAGTAAAAAAAACTCAACAAGAATTCAAATAAACAAAACAAAGAAAGCTTATCTTTTGTCTTTACTTTTTAAAAGTATGGCTTTTTATGTTGCATCAAAAATGGTGGAGAAAAAGCTAAAATGCAACCTTGTTTATTGATTTAAAAGTTTAAAACTATATAAAAATATACTTCCTGTCTTTCCTAGCTTATTCTTGACATAGTAATAATCTTATATCAATATTTTTAGTTATCCTAGTATTAATGTTTTATGAATATATAACATAATTATTTAATATGAATATATAAATTTGATATTTAGACTCTTGAAAGATCTTATTTGCTAAAAATTAATGGTAAAACTGCTGAGAGGCCTCAACACATGTTGATGAGAGTATCTGTTGGTATACATGGTGAAGATCTTGATGCTGCTATAGAAACATATAATTTAATGTCAGAAAAATGGTTTACTCATGCCTCTCCTACATTATTCAATTCTGGCACCCCCAGACCTCAGATGTCAAGCTGTTTTTTATTAGCTATGCAGAGTGATAGTATTGAAGGAATTTTTGATACTGTTAAACAATGCGCAATTATTTCAAAATGGGCTGGTGGCATTGGTCTTCATATTCACTGTATACGATCTTCTGGGAGTTATATAGCTGGGGTTGGTAACTAATGTCATAATGAAATACTTTTTTGTTGTATTTTTTTTTTATTATTACTAATTTTTAAAATAATTTTTTATAAAAGTAATTTCTTATTTATTAAGACAAATGGTCATTCGAATGGAATAATTCCCATGTTAAGAGTATTTAATAATACTGCAAGATATGTTGATCAGGGAGGTAACAAGCGACCAGGCTCAATTGCCATCTACTTAGAGCCTTGGCATGCTGATATTATAGACTTTTTAGACTTAAAAAAAAATACTGGTAAAGAGGAGCAGGTAATGTTTTTTATGACATCACTTCAATACTATTTTTATAATTTAAATAATTTAATAATAGTTAAATACAAAAAGTGTTTACATTTCATAATTTAGTAACAAAGTTTAGCGATATAAATTTTTTTTTTAATGAATTCTTCTTGTAATGTGAAATTGCTATAAAAGTAAAAAATAAAACATGCAATTTTCAAAGTTATATTTGCCAAAATTATTTTAAAAAAATAAGTTTTTTTTGTTTTGCTTCTTTTGACAATATTTTATTAGTATTGGTTAAGTTTTTTTTTTAATTTTTTTATAAAAAAATTGCTCTATCCTTATGAGTTAGGCTGTTACTAATTCTAAAGATAAAAGTTTTACTTTGTTTTATACAAACCTTTTATAGACTTTTAAAGAATATTTTGTTTTAGAGAGCTCGTGATTTGTTTTTTGGTCTTTGGGTTCCCGACCTATTTATGAGAAGAGTAGAAGAGAAAGGTATGTGGTCATTAATGTGTCCTCATGAATGTCCTGGTTTAGCTGACTGTTATGGGGAAGAATTCGAAGAGTTGTATCAGAAATATGAAAGCGAAGGGCGATATAGAAAACAAATTCCAGCTCAAAAGTTGTGGTTTGCGATTTTAGAATCCCAGACAGAGACTGGAACCCCTTACATGCTTTATAAAGATAGTTGCAATAGAAAAAGTAATCAAAAAGTAGGGTTTCTTCTTTGAAATAATATTTATCAAATAGATTAATAATATAGCTTAATAAAGCTTTTAGAGTTTTTAGTTGAGAGATGCAAATAAAATAGAAATATTAAAGTAAATAAAAAAGTTGATGTTAAAAAAATTGTAGTCACGTTGAATTTACTGATTAAAAATAGATGTAATATTAGTTTATGCAATAAATAATTAAACAATTGAATTTTTGTTTAAATAAAGTTAGACTGGTTATTAAAAAAATATTTTCTAAGAATGAAGAAACAAGTAAGAAGAAGAAGAGATAAAAACGAAACTAAGGATCATTATTTCAAATTTTAAATAAAATTTTTTATTCAAATTGATACTCTGTTGCTTATAGTTTTTTTTTAAATCACTATATTGTTATTAAGCTTTAGAAATTTCTTTTTTTTTTAAATTTAAAATTGTTTACTTACATTATAACTGACTTAATATAAAAAATAGTTAATGTTTTTGCATAACAAAGTTGTACTTATAAAACACATTTGAAATAAATTTATTGTTTAAACATTTAAATTTATTTTACAAAGTTTTTATTTTACAAAATAACTTTTTTTTTCTCTGTTAAATTTAAATGCATGATAAACAAATAAATTTTAAATGATAAATTGTAATTAAAGTTATAATTGATAAAATAATAAAAAACATCAATCAAATTTTACTACATTTTTTTGTGAAAAATTTAATTCAAATTTTTGATTTCATGTATAAAAGTATAGATATAAAATTTTTTGATTTGTTTTTTAGAATCTTGGAACCCTTAAATGCAGTAATTTATGCACAGAAATTTTAGAATACACTTCTTCTGATGAGGTTTACTGAATTTGTTGTTATTTACAAATATTTTTAAAATCCTTTGACACTCTATAACCATTAACTAAACCGTTACTTTTAGATTGCTGTTTGTAATCTTGCTTCTATATCTGTAAACAGTTTCGTGACAGTTAATTCGGAAACTGTTACACTTCCATCTGGTGAAACAAAACTTGTTAAGACTGGAGTTTATGATTTTAAGAAATTAAAGTATGTCACCAAAGTGATAACAAGAAATCTAAATAAGGTTATAGATCGAAACTTTTACCCAGTTCCTGAGGCTCGAAATTCAAACATGAGGCATAGACCTATAGGTATTGGTGTTCAGGTATTTTGAGACTTAATTTTAAATTTAGATTATTCAAACAAGCTCATATATATTTTATTATTATGATGATAAAATTAATGAGTAATTAAAAAAAAAATTAGATATTAGTGTTGAATATGTAGGGAATGTTTAAATTACCTTTGTTTTTACATACATATTGTATTTTTTTATTTTATTTCCCAAAAAAATTTACTGTTATAGGTATAAAAAAAATTATGCAAGTAAAAGTTTTTTTGACCATAAAAGAAAAGTTATAATAAAAGAAAGCATCTTTGCTGAATGTGAAGTCATGCAAAATAAAGTTTTAACTAATATAACAAGTGTGATGGTTCGCTTGAGCAGTGTCCATGTTAGTATTTGTGAAAGAGAAAATATGTAACCTTACATTAATTGGGGTAAAGAGCAGAGCCATTTACAATCTTTAAATCTTGTCTAAAAGAGCCTCATTAAAAGTACCATTGCAAATATGGCAACCAGTATATCATACAAGAACTAATAAAATATTTAAAGATGTAAAGAATGGAATCTGTATGAAAGGAAAATTTGGATTTTAAAGTGGATAGTATATATGGTTTCAATAAGAGGTCGTTAATAAAGGATATTTTAAGAAGACACAAAGTAGATGATTCGTAGAGCCATTCAATAATATTACAATAATTATTGAGCTGAACTTCTGTTGTTAAAGAAGAGATCTTGCATTTATAACTAAATATAACAATTTAGCTTCCAGGCCTCAACTTGTTAAACTAATAATTAAAATTTTTAAATTATTATTACAGTAATTATTGATTGAGCTAAACTTCTAATGTCAGAGAAGAGATCTTGCATTTATAACTAAGTATAATAACTTTACTTCCAGGTCTCCACTTGTTTTTTATCTTGACTGTTGCATCATTAATTAGCAACCTGTCAAGAAATAAAAATGTCTAAATATGTCTTTAACTTTTTATATTACTTACATTGTGATAGCTTTCACATTGTATTGTAAAATTTTTTTTTTTTTTTTAACAAGCTGTTGTAAGGCCTAGCTTTCATTTAGATATAATTTCCATTATGAAAGTTTCTTAAAATAGCTTTTTCAATAATCACTTTTAACTTGCAAATCTGTGACTTCCAAATATACATCAATTAATTCCAATATAGATAAAGTATACCATGATGTTTTCAGTTGTGTATAATTTATGATAGCAAATGATGATTTGTGCATGCAATATAGATTATTTGCTTCCAAGCCTAAACTTGTCTATTGAACTGTTGTGTTTTTATCTTGACTGTTGCATTAAGTATTTGCAATACGTTGTAAAGGGGAACATAAATAACTACAAAGTCTTTTACTTGTTGCAATTTTTTTTTTTTTTTTTTTGGAATATTGCAATTATCAAGGCTTTTACACTTGTGTATAGTTTAAAGTTTAATAGATAAGGGTGTGGTGATGCATCTTCTAAATGGTTATATTTTTAGTAATCTGATGCTATCTTTATATGTTATATTTTATTCCTATATCCTATTTAATGTTATATTTAATACCTTAGCTATAACTATGGTTATCAAAAAAATAATTAGATATTTATGCAGAATTTAGTATTTAAATTATCACAGCAAAAATGTGTCCAAAACAGAAAATTTTTAATGATTTTAAGTTTTTAGATGATATGGGAATTAACTTTTTAATCTACTTTAAAAGTTTGAATATACCAGTAATACTTAAATTTTATTTTGCAGAGATTTTGTAGCTCATTTTGTTTGAATATATTTTTCTATTAGGTGCTCTTATTTTATGGTTTTTTTGTTTTGTTTTGTTTTGTTATTCAATAGTTTTAATGAGCAATTACAAGACTTATAGATCTTAATTATAAAAATTCAATTAAAATCAGGAAATCAATGTAAATTACAAAATAACTCAATTTTTTTTACCCTGATAAAAATTCTTAGTTACCTAAGAATAATGAGCCCTAGCATTTAGCATTTTTTTTCCATTGCATTATTACATTAGTTTCTTACAAAATTAAAATTATATTTATCAAAAGTATTGTTCTGCTTAAAAAATAAAAATTATGGTTACATTTAGAAATAGCATCTGCTCAATATGTAGAAAACAATTAAATGAGGTTTGACCTAAAATAATAAAAACTTCCTCATGAATTCAAAAGATAGTGTAGGAGTAAATTTTTAACAGAGAGATAAAGGTATCAACCTAAAGACTATCTCAAAGAAAATCACAAAAGTAATTGTTATTATTTTGTGAATCTGCAGAAGTGCAAGATAAAAGTTTATGTGGGGAAAAAAACAAGAAGAAACTAAGCTTAAGCTATGTTCAGAGACATGAACAAATTAAGATAAAAAGGTATGTTGCAAAAGTAAACTATGGGTAAAAGATTGAAAAAACCAAAAGCTTTAGGCTTTGGTCCAAGTAGAGTCAGAGGGCATAGGGTTTAAACCAATGAATAATAACAATATTGGCCAATTAATAAAGAGAAAAGAGCTAGGTCAGTTTAATTAGAAATAGTTTCAATTTAAGTGGCTCCAAGACTTCACTGCCTTAGGCAGAAATAGAATGTTAAGAAACAAAAAAAGGTGATAGATTAAAGTGGGTCTAAATAAAAGCTTTTTAAAAAATAGTTGTTTTTATATAGTTGTATATTGCAATAAATATGATTTAATGGATAGAAAGTTTTTTCATCAATAAATAAATATGAAAAAACTGTTTCAAAAAAAAATTTATGCTGAATAGCATTTAAGAATTTTATTTTAACAGTTTGTAGTTGATGTTTTTATATATTAAGTATTTGTTGGTTAGTGTTGAGTTCTTAATTTAAATTGAGAGAACTTTAATCAAACATGGTACTTGACATTACTGAACTCTTTATCGAACATTGTACTTGACACTACAAAAATTGTTGTTTTTGTTTATCTTAAAAATGTAACGCAAGACATGACTTTTTTAAATCGAGTTTGTAACAATTGTAACAATTTAGATCATAAAACTGTTAATGTAAAGGCGATAAACTCTTTTAAAAACAATATTGATAAAAGATAAAAGAAAATTTTAACTTTTATAAAGTAATCTCATATGTGATTACTTCCTGTGTAATTTTTACACTACGCTTTTTAATTTTATAATAATAATTATGATAAAACCTTACAAATGTAAATATATATTTTAGTAACATTTTGTATTCATGTTTCATATATTTGTTTTTCAGTGGTTTATGTGTGTTAGTTTTAAAAAGTGCACAAACTTTTTAAATTAGCTCAAGTTTTGTTTTCTTTTTTGTGTGCATTATAATTCAGTGATCATATAGATTTATAGTGAAAAATTAAAATTGAACTATGGCTTGTATGCCAAGGTCTTCATTTTTGAACAGTCTGTAAAACTGTTTTAAAGAGTTTTCAAGCTTGATTTTTAGTTATCTATCTTATGTCTGTGAGCTAAAAACAAATACACTAAGTAACCTGTATATGTGCTAATAAACTTAAGTTATTGTGTTATAGTGTTGAGTTAAGTTATAGTGTTAAGTTCAGTTCATAAGTTAAGTTATAGTGTAATTTTGATAGCAAATGATGATTTGTACATACAATAGAGATTTTTGCTTCCAAACCTTAACTTGTCTATTAAACTATGTGTTTTTATCTTGGCTGTTGCATCAAGTATTTGCATCACGTCGTAAAGGGGAACATAAATAATTACAAAGTCTTTTACTTTTTGCAATAGTTTATTCTTGGAATATTGTGATTTTAAAGGCTTTTACATTTATATACTCTAAAGTTTAGTAGACAAGGGTGTGGTGATGCATCCTCTAAATGATTATATTTTTAGTAATCTGATGCTATCTTATTTCTTTTTTGTTTTCAACTATTGGTTTTGCTTTTTTATACTTAATTTGATTATCATTTCTTTTAATTTGCCATTGTAGGGTCTAGCTGATGCGTTCATTTTGATGCGATTTCCATTTGAATCTGATGAAGCTAGTCTACTTAATAAACAGATTTTTGAAACAATTTATTATGGTGCATTAGAAGCATCTTGTGAATTAGCTGAAAAAGATGGGACTTATGAGAGTTACCAAGGGTCACCTATTAGTAAAGGAATACTTCAATATGATATGTGGAATGTGACACCAACAAATTTGTGGAACTGGGCAGAACTAAAAGCAAAAATTGCTCTGTGTGAACCTTGATTTTTTTATTAGTTGTAAAACTGTTTTCTCTAAATTTTATTATTTAAATTTTATCTTTATTTTACTTTACTTAGCTATTACTTAGTTTTAAACAATATTGCTCTTCTTGTTTTTAGCCATGGTGTTCGAAACAGTTTATTAGTTGCTCCTATGCCAACAGCCTCTACAGCTCAAATTCTTGGCAACAATGAATCAATTGAACCATACACTAACAATATTTATTCTAGAAGAGTGCTTTCTGGAGAATTTCAAGTTGTTAATAAACATTTAATGAAAGATCTTACTGATCTTAACTTATGGGACGATAACATGAAGAACACTCTGATTGCTCACAACGGCTCTGTACAGGTTAGATGTTTTTGGCTGACTTTGGTATGATGTACAGGTTAGATGTTTTTGGCTGACTTTGGTATGATGTATATTATTGAATGTTACTTATACTTATTTTTTTGTTCTTGGTTAGAATATTGATGAAATTCCGGCTGATATCAAGGTTTTGTACAAAACAGCGTGGGAAATAAAGCAAAAATCATTAATAAATATGGCTGCAGATAGAGGAGCTTTCATTGATCAAAGTCAATCGTTTAATGTATTTTTAGGCGAACCCAGCTTTTCTACTTTAACTGCTATACATTTTTATGGTTGGAAAAAGGTAGTGTTTTTAAGACTTTTTTATAAATATTTAATACTTTTTGACTTCAACATATATATATATATATATATATATATATATATATATATATATATATATATATATATATATATATATATATATATATATATATATATATATATATATATATATATATATATCAGCTCTCGAAATTAGGGTCGCCATTCGGCAATTCCGACCCTAAAATGTTTGAGGTTAGTAAAAAATGTATTTGCAATTGTTTTTAGGGGCTAAAAACGGGTATGTATTACTTGCGTACAAAACCCGCTGCTAATGCTATTCAATTCACTGTCGACCAAAACAAGTTAAAGCAAAGCAATAATTTAAAACAGACTGATGATGATTTAAAAAGCTTGATTTGTTCATTAGAAAATAAAGACCAATGCATGTCATGTTCTGGTTAATATCCTGAATTATTTATATAAAAAAACGATACGCGTGTCGTCAAAATTATGCAAAATACAATCGATCTTTATTTATTTAACAGTTATTTATTAATGATGTCTAAGTTTTGTAAAATTTATTGTCTATATTTGATATGTACATATAAATTATCATATGCTCGTTTCATTATTTAGCGTGGAAATAAAAATAGTTTTTATTAAGTGAAAATGATAGCGTAAATATTTGTTACTTGCTAGAGTTCTAATTATATCAAAAAGTATTAAAAAAACTATTCTAATAATTAGCAAAATGGTTCATGTTAATATAGTATTTTTTTGATTGTTTCACAAGAAGCCAAATCAAATATTCAATATTTTTGAAAACTTAAAAATAGGAGGGGTAGCCATAACCTTTTTGATAAGAGTCAAGCTTTTTAGCTGTTAACAGTGTTTTTAATGTCAATTGGCAGCTGACTGGTTGCGGTTCTTAAAGTATTCTGTCAGAACAAATCTTGTCTAAAAAGAGTGTTTTATAATAACACTTCTTGCTCTTAAAAGTGGATATATATATTTATATATATATCCACTTCTAAGAGCAAGAAGTGTATTATAAAAGATTGGAGAAAAGATATACGCTATGTAAGTCTAGATATAATGATGCGTAGCAGTGAAACATATGCAATAAAGATGGTGTCCGCTATTTGGAAAGAATTGAAAAGGCAACAATCAGATAGATGTGCGGTGCAACTCTAAAAACAAGAAAAGTGTTGATCTTATATTAGGAATTAGAGATTAGGAATAGTGAGTGTAACTGATAGGGTGCCTCATTGAAGATCAAGGTGTAAATTATGTTAGTGGGCAATGCCACTGTTACTTACGGGACATTTTGATTTTTGTAATGTCACATTTTATTATTATTCACGACCATAAGCATCCTAAATAAGCGCATATTGTGGGTTTGTTTCCATTAGGAATACCTCATCTACATCAAATTTATACTTAGAATTTTTAAGATGTCTCTTTAATAACACCTTGCCAGGTTGTGCAAGCAATAATTGGATTGAATGTCCATTAGCAGAACATCTTTGATAGGTAAAGAGTCCTTCATGAGGAGTTTCATCAGTAGTGGTCTTGATTTTTTCACATTTTTTGTTGTTGTAAGTTAAATTTATTGCTTTACCAGCTAAAAGGAAGCATTTTAAAGTTGTAGTCATGATTCTTTTGCATCTTTCCACAGATTGTCAAACTATCAAGATAAGCAAAAGTCTTTCAATATCTTATCAGCAATAAAATTGTCCACTGTTTTTTGAAATTACTCCTAACTTTTGAGTTACTCCGTTTGTCACACTAAAAGGCATACACATGAACTGATGTAAACCTCTGTCATCTTCAAATGCAGTAAACAGGCGATATTCTTGTTTAATTGGAATCTGGTGATAAGCTGATTTCAAATCAATGGTGCTCAAGTATCAATACTGCAAAATTTTGCTTACAAGTTCAACTACTTGTGGTAGAGGGTAGGCATCAAGACATGTAAAACAATTGATAGTTTGACTATAGTTTATGACTAGGCACTTTTTTGATCTCTTGTTTGTTACAATGACTTGTGATCTCCATGGTGATGTTGAAGGTTCGATAATTCCTTCTTTGTAAAGGCGTTGTACTTCAGAGCTAAAAAATTCTCTGTCTTCAGCACTGAAGAGGCGATATTTTGAGGCTATTAGTTTATAGTCAGACTTTTGAAAAATTGGATTTATACAACTAGTAGTAGTTGCTAATGTTGGTTTTAAGATAGATACAGCTGTTGAGTTAGTGTTATTTTGCTTTGAAAGATATTACAATAGTTTTGTCAAACATAACCTTTAATGTTATGGCTCTATTTTTGAGAAGTTGTTATTGGATTTCATTATAAGTTATACCACTGATAAAGAAGTATGTCAATATTTTCTTGAGGTAACACACCTAAAAAATATTCAAAAGTTTTAAACCAAAGTTTAAATTTTTGGTTACTTGATGGTGTGTTTGGAGGTGATTCAAATCTGGTCGTAGAGTCGTCTGGTCGTAGAGCTTTGTCCTTTTGTTCTTTGTTACACAATGAATTACAAGTTAATGAAATTGTTGTGGACTCGAAGGATAAATGACAATAATTGAATTATTACTTTTTAACTTTTTATTAACTAAAACAAAAGAAGAAATATTAATATAACAACAATATTATTGATGTTAAATATCATCACATAACTACTTATTTATGTATGTAAAATCAACTTAGTTATTGTTACTACACTTTTATTAAAATGTAGATTAGCTACCATTTATATAGAAAGTATGAGGCATGACTTTAAAGAAAACAAAAACAAAACACAAAAGTAACATAATTAATCAAAATTAAAAATTTTTAAACATAAGGCAACCCAGTGATTACTTTGCTAAAATAATTAAATTTATTAAATTGAAAAAAATTAAATTTAAAAATAATTTAAAATAATTAAATAAAAAATTAAACTTATTTAATTAAAATAATTAAATTTAAAAATAATTTAAAATAATTAAATTAAAAATTAAATTTATTTAATTAAAATAATTAAATTTAAAAATAATTTAAAATAATTAAATTAAAAATAATTAAATTTATTTAACTATTTTATTGAAATAACTCATTTAAGCGTGGAATTGACCTAGTGTATTGTACAAATAGAGTGCTCAATGTTCTTAAAGAACAGAGCAGTAGTAAATTAGTATAAACACTTATCTAATTTTGACTGTCGAGGAAAATTAGATGAGTGTTTTTACTAATTTATATATATATATATATATATATATATATATATATATATATATATATATATATATATATATATATATATATATATATATATATATATATATATATATATATATATATATATACAGGTCCGCCCAGAGCTTTTGTGATGCCCGGGTCCAAAAGTTTAATGGATGCCCTATCATACTTCAGGTCTTAAAATAGCAAATAAATTAATATAATTTACTTTCATAAAAAACCTAAAATCACATTTAATTTTGGTTTGCAAAAACAAACTATGATAAAATCAATACTTAATTGACAAACACATCTTCCGGGCCTTCTTAGCAGCAAAATTTGAAATAACTTTTTCATAATTAACGTTAATGGCTAAATCTGATTCGATTGAAAGGATCATCAAGTAGCACAATGCTCCTGGCCTATTGTGGAGCGAAGATAATCTTTGATGATAGCTAACTTGCTGAAAGATCTTTCTCCTTCAGATGTTGAAACGGGCAATGTTAGAAAGATTCTAAGAGAAACACACACTTGCGGAAATATTGAATGCAGCCCCTTTGCATAAACTTCTTTTAGAAGTTCGATAGGCTTTTCGCTGGCTAGAATATTTCTTCTTACGGAAAAAAAATGCCGAACTTCATCAGAAAATATTTACATAAGTCTTCTCGGTAAAGTTTAGCCAGATTCTCAGCTTTTAAACCTAGTTCTTGGTCTGTTTGAGATTTCTGCAAAGACCAAAGGAAGGAAAACTTGCTACATTCCTCTTCTATTACTTTAAATCTTGATCTCATTTGACTAGTCAGATTGTCGAGTGCAACATTGAAGACATTACACTCAAAGTTTTTTGATGCTTCTTCGTGGTTGTAATCAGCAGTTTCATCTGGGATGATCTTTTTTCGCGTTCTCTTCACAGTAAACATTATTTTATCAAATTTCAAGTTCTTTGCAACTTCTGTTGCCTCTATCAAAATCAGGTCCCAAGACAAACGGATTCGATCCAGACCCATCAAAAGGCCATTTAGAATTTTTACTTCATCATCGAGAGTGAGTTGAGTGGATTGAAGCAGAAGACTCACGTTGTTAACTGCCATCAAACATTTAAACCAAAAAGTAGTGAAAACAACAAATTCAAAAGAATTCATCCATTTAATGAGATAACTATTTTCGCCTGGAAAGTCTAACTCCTTTAGACGGTGTAATGATTTCAAGATCTCTCTTGGCTTTTTTGCTAGTGGCTTAACTGATTCAATCCTTGAACTCCATCGTGTAACAGAAAGTTTATGCAATGATTGGCCTGTCTCCTCCTGAAGAATTTTCCAACGAACTGGGCTGATGCTGAACAGATTGTATAGCTTTTGAATATTTCCAAAATAGGATTTTGAAGGAGCCGATGATTCAATAGCGTGTACTGCACATAAGTTCAAACTGTGAGCAGAACAAGGAATGAAAATTGCTTGTGGATTATTCTGTCTTATCAAAGCTTGAACTCCATTGTAAATACTCTTCCACCACATTCAATATCAACTTTGTTATATCAGATCCCTTCTTCTTTTCAAGTTCTTCTAGCTTAAGGAACCTTTCTTTGACCTCCCACAGCTGATTATCATTGAAATGCAAAAAACGAAAAAAAAAGTTATTTGCTCGCTGTGGGACGAATCGGGAGTGCTTTCCGTGATGATGGTGAAATATATTGATTTTTTGATTTCTCGAATAACTTCTCAAACCACTAATTTGCCGCATTCCTTGATAAATTCATTTTGTGATTTCCAGGATAAATAATGAGCTTGCATGCGTTTTTCTTCTTCTTGGTGCTTAGCAATAAGATGCATATGATCTTGTAATGTTTTGTTGTGGCGAGCAATTAATTCGAGCGCTCCAAGGAAGTTTCCATTCCCATTTTTGAACAACTTTTGATTGGATTCTAACTACAAACAAAAAAAAATCACAATAGTAATCCATATTAATATCCAATTAAAACTTGTAATTTTGATTTTTAAATTACAAATAAAATAATGCAAAATACAATTTAAAATTTAAAAACATTCTTACCCCTAAAAGCTAAGTTTCTTGAAGCTAGAAAAATTGTGACGTCAAGAATGCATTGTAAAATTACTTTCCATCGTTTTGTTTCATCTCCAATTTGTTTTTCTAACTGATGCTCAATGGGCTTTTGACTTTTCAAGTGAATCGTAGCTGTTTTCCATTGGAGATAACAGTTACGGTGAAAATCGCTTTGTTGATGACTTTTAACGCGATCTGAAAGTTTTCTCCGATTTCCATGTATACCTCCATTCCAAGACAACAAACTGGATTGAACACCGGGTCTGGTTAAGTTAGGCGATCCAAAAAGGGAGCAAGGGAAACAAAAGAGTGATGCCACAGCCTTACTCCAAACGAGCCAATCTCTTCTAACTTTTTCTCCGTTTCTTTGTTCCTCTAAAAAAATATAAGTAGGGAATTTGCGTTCTTTTTGATCTCTTGGAAAATTGCTAGGATTTGAAGAAGGTCCCATCAGAATTATATTCGTTCGATCAGTGTCTGATATTGATTTCCATAGTGCAGGATCGTTAGAAATTGGTATAGAAAGATCACTTTTATAAATTTGTTGGTCATTGTGACAATCAAGTACAAAATCCAACTGATCCTTTTTTAAATGTGATGATGTTTTTTGGGAGTCATCGATGTCATCGGCAAGAAAAAGTTTGTCGGAATTATGGTCTGGCAACTCATTAGAGTCATTGATACCGATCTCAATATCATTGAACTATAAAGAAGTATTAAACAGAATTATCATAATTATTTTTTCATGAACGTCACAAGATTTAAAAATAGTTTAACTACCTGCTTGCATTTATCTTCGATTTTTGTCCAACGAACGCAACCTAAAAGTGTTCGTTTGTTTTTGCTTTCGTTTTTTTTCCGAATCATCGCTCTTTTTCTCCCAGCAGCTCCAGACAGCTGGTTCAATCGTGGAGGTCTTTGATTATTCATGCTAAAACTTATGACGATATAAAGAATTTTAACTTTTTAAATTTTAAAAGTTAAAAACTTTAAAATACTTTGGTGTTATTAACTGCAGAGAAAAAGTCAGTACTTACAATTAAAATATCCAATGAAGATAAGTTTCTTGTCAAAATATAGTCGGAACAAATTGCAAGGGAGTCAAAAACATACATATGCACAAAAGTATCCACAGAGACGCAAGGTTTAAGCAAAAATAAGTTAAACTATTAGAAGTTAGGCTTTTACAAACGTTAAAGAAGAAAAAAAATTTTTAACGCTTTTTATTCTATCATGCGAACAAAAGGCCAATGAAAACGCGTGCGTTCAAATGGATAATGAAAACTTTGTAAAATAATAATTATCCTATTTTAAATGCAAACAAAGTTTAAAAGGAGAAAGAAATCAATACACAAAAATTGCTTAATCTTTAAATACGTTATCAGCTAAATTTTTTATCATTTCAATAATTTTTTTTTTACCCATGCGATGCCCCATAGACTGTGATGCCCGGGGCAAACTACTTCAATTGCCCCCCCTCCTCTTGGCGGCCCTGTTTATATATATATATATATATATATATATACATATATATTATTATAGAGTTTATATAGCGAACTAGTTAGCTATCTCAAAAAAAAAAAAAAAAAATATATATATATATATATTTTTTTTTTTGAGATAGCTAACTAGTTCGCTATATAAACTCTATAATAATGTTTTAGAGTTTATATAGCGAACCTTTCTCTTGCAATAATGTTTGAGATTATAGACTATAATCTCAAACATTATTGCAAGAGAAAGGTTCGCTGATCTCCTTTTTATTTTCACCACAATATACAAACTTAGCAAAAATAAGCAGTTACAAAATAATTTTATTCAACGTTAACTGAAGATATATATTAAAAAAATATATTAGAAAAAACTTATTATAAGCTAAATAATTTAAAACGCGAATTAAAAGGGGTTAATTTTTTACGATGGGGGTTAGAAATATTTAAGCCCCCGGTTAATTTATTTCGCCATGTTTTAAAATAATTTAACTCCCGGGGTTAATTTATTTCGAAATAGATTAACCCGGGAGTTAAAATGTTTTAACTGGGAGTTAACTTTTCGGGGAGTTATTTTATTTCGCGTCACCGGCAAAAAAACAAGATTTAGTCATTAAATAGAGTTCTTGTGAACACTTTGGCAAGGCTAGGACAAGTATGTTGTCGGACCTACAAGCCGTGAAAAGTTTAATTTAGAAAAAAAGAAACGGAAGCTGGAGTGATTTAGATGTCTTACTCTGGTACTACTATCCGTCATCTAAACCATTAAACTGAGTTTTAAAGCTGCTTTTACAATTGTAATCTCATGAGAAAATAATGTGAAAAATATCAAAACCGAGATTACTAAAATATATTGAAAACCTTTAAAATTGGCGCTTCTTTTTGAATGAGAGAAGATTTGCAATATTTTTAAATAAACAAGAGGTCTCAGAAGAGAATACTCAGCAAGTTGTCTCAAAAGGACCCATTTAACATTTTTCTGATATCTCTAATAGAAAAAAAAAATGCGCAAGTTTTGAAAGTTTACAATATTTTTCAGTAAGGGGTTGATCATAAATTACGTCAATCTCTAGGGGAGATAGGAGGTGTTAGTGGTTTTGTAACAACTCCTTCGGGACTTATTACTAAAGAGTTACGATGTTGTGACAATATTGGGTGACATAATTTGTGGAGAACCTAATTTCGGTTAAAATATTTTTAAAGTTTTATAAGTTGAAATTGCAACGCAACATTTTCGTATACATTTGATTATGTTGCTATGGATCTCTAAAAATATAAAAGTTAAATGAAGTGTAGTTAAGTTTAGATATAGTAGTGCAAACACTGATTAAAAGTTACAAGATTAAAGCTCCTAAAAATGTTGAAAAAGTTTGTCAGACAACTTATAACTCAGCAGTGTATGTGAAGGACAAAATGGTAAAGAAAATAAGGCTGATAATATCCAATAGAAGAAAATTTTCCTATGCGAGCAATGAGGCAACATTTAAACAAATTAAAGTCAAAAAAGATTCAACAATCAAAATCTTGGTATAATCAAAATGATCGAGCAAATAATGGTCATCAAACTAGTGCAAAAATGAATCAGACGAAGAGAGTGTCAGTGTTCACCTCTCTTCTTAGCAACAAACAATTAAGAATATGAAGACGAAAATAAGGCAGACGCAAACTATGATAAAGAAAACAAAGATGAGGAAGCGCTTGAGTACAATACTGTTTTGTTTATTGTTAAAACTTTCGAAGATGTACAAACTATTGTATATAAATTCAAGTATAATCCTAAATTAGTCAGAGAGCTTAAAGAAAATGCTCAATGTTTAAGAATCAAATTCAAAATTCTGGTTCTCCGTGTCAGAATTCGATGGAACAGTGCATTGAAAATGTGGACGACTTTCATTGACATGATGACTTTTTTATCAAAAAGATTCTTCAAGCATTTACACATAAATGGTCTAATTATTTAGAGACGAACGTTTCAGAATTAGTAGCAACTCTTCATGGATGCCATAAGTGGCGGTGACTCTGACTTACACAGAAGGAGCATTGAAACTTTTATTGAAAAAATTAAGAATAGAGGAAAGTTTTATTAATGGTAATTTTCTTGAAAAAATTGAAAAAGAGATTTTTAAAAGGCGTCCGATCTCAACTGTCAGTTTGCTAATATTTCGCGACGTTAGAATTATCTTGTTCTATCTCCACATTTTTGAGTTTTGAGATAAAACGATTTAAAAAATAAAAACTTTAGAAGATAGTATATAATAACAACTTTTTAACTTACGTTTTATTCGCAACTTTTTTACTTATAACTTAGGTTTCAATACAATAGAAAAACATTATTCTGAGGTACATAACCCTATCAATAACTCAATTTTATTAATGGAGATAGAACTAGATAATTCAAACGTCGCGATTTCTCACCAATTAATGAGTTCTTAATGAACCAAAAATGTTTTCATTATTGCTTTCATCAAATAAAGAAACTATTTAAGAAGCAAAAAGACTCTGGAAAAAAACCTAAAGGCCTTCAAGACAGTAGCTGGATGCATTAACATCTGCCCGAGATGAGTATTTTTATTGAAACACCATCTCTAGCATTACTCAACCAAGAGATCCTCGGCTACATGTTACAAGTAGTAGAGTGATCGTGATGATACTGAACCTGATCAGACCTGGAGTAGTAAAAAGAAGTTACTTTCTGTACTTCAAAACATTGAGCAGAATATCTTTAAAATGAATAAGAAAAATAAAATCTAACAAAATATTGGAAATTACGGAGGATTTAGACTAAACACAAACATACATATAGTAACACATTTAAATATACTGAACTTGAAATAGTCAATAACCATAAATACTTTGGAATCATGTTTAATGAGAATTTTAATTGGGGCAAACAAAGAACTACAGTGCACAGCAATATAAAATCAGTACCATATCTAATCAAACAAATTGGACTCAATTAGCCCAACTTTTTTTTCAAGTTTATAGATCTTACGCTGTTTGCTACCTAATATATAATGCTTCTGATCTTACTTTGTGCAATCCTGCTGCAAAAAAAGAAATTCAATATTTCCATATAATTGCCCCGAAAATTATTGAAATTGATGTAACCAATTTGAGTGGTTTTAATATTAATTTTTTTTTTAAAGATTAAGTAGACAAGATCTGTATTAATGATTTTAAAAAGATCCTTGCTGACTCATGTCATCCTGTAAACACTAAATTAGCTCCAATAGAAGAAAATAAATTGCCTTGTCCCTATTGGCCCCTCAGTTCTGAGCATCAAAATTTTATATATTATAGCTTGACTATGTAAAACATAAATGAGTCACAGTGGCACCACATATATATATATACATATATATATATATATATATATATATATATATATATATATATATATATATATATATATATATATATATATATATATATATATATATATATATATATATATTAACGTTTTTTTCTTTTTTAAAAAACTAACAAAGTGTACAAATATTAATGGTAATTAATATGCGAGACTTATTGAATAATACGTACATTTTTAACAAATACAATTTTTACACAAATACAATTTTATGTTATTCTGACATACACACTTAACAATAGGAGGGGGGGGGGGCTATAGCCTCGGGCTACGCAAATTTAGGGGCCCCCTAAAATTTTTGAGTACTTTTTTTTTTTTTTTTTTTGTTATTCATTTTTAGCCCTTAGCCCATAAAAAGGCCTCCAAAAACAAAAATAGCCCCGGGTCCCAAGAAGTCTTAATTCGCCACTGACACTCAAATTATATGATCTAGTTCATCAATTAAATTGTGTATTTGTCTGAATCTTAAAAAAGTTATGAATCTTAAACAAGTAACCTCCCTCCCTCATTCTCTATTTAATTAATGCAGAGAGAACCCTCTCCGCATAACAAGGCGGAGAGGACTCCGGATTCCTCTATTTAGTGGAAGTTAAAAGAACTCCTTTATTTAGTGGAAGTAAATTTCCCTGCCTCACATTCCGGAGCGAACTTGCAGATTTTCCGCGATGTCAAAATTCTTTCACAAATGGCGGATGGAATAGTGAAGTGCACGAGAGCATAAAGTTGTGTTATCAAGTTACTCTTTAACTAGAAAAAAATGCCTTTAAGTTGCCGATTTTTTAAGCAGAAATTTCCAGAGGTATGTCTTTTATATATAATGAATTTATAGCTCGAAATGTTTATAAATATTCATTTTACCTTTCCTGTTAAATTTAAGTCTTTAGGTAAATTCTTTTTACCTATCTAGTATATCCTGTGCCTGTCACTTGCTAACATATGATTTAATTTCAAATATATTTTTCGTTATAAAGAATCAAAACCCACGTTTTGATCAATAGTAGCATATATTTTAAAAAAATGCACACTAGTTTATTCAGTAATATATCACTTATATTCTTATACTTATTTTTTATATCATCAATAATTTATTTAACATAGGTAGCTTTTATGTGTAATCTAAAGAGTTTTGTTTTTGTTATAGATATGAATTAAGATGATATTTAATATGGTCCAGTATATTTATTATAATAGACATAATAAATATATCTACCTATAATGTATATGACATGTAAAATATTTTTTAAAGGTTTATAAATTTTATTTAACTTTTAGGCTATTTTAAATTTTTGTTTTTGATTTCATTTATATAATTCATTTATATATATATATATATATATATATATATATATATATATATATATATATATATATATATATATATATATATATATATATATATATATATATATATAGAGAGAGAGAGAGAGAGAGAGAGAGAGAGAGAGAGAGAGAGAGAGAGAGAGAGAGAGAGAGAAAGAGAGCTTTACTTTCATAAAGAAAAGTTTCTGTTTTCCATTTAAAAAAATAAGTTATGATTTCTTCAGATAAAAGAAAACCTTTGAATTTATAGATTTGCCTCAGTTTGCTTGTTTTAGAGCTAATAAGCATCTTTTCTTTAGTGTATGCTTTTGACAATTTTTTTTTTTTAATCTTTAGTTCCAATAAGGCTATTAGAGTTAAAAGTTACTGTAAGAGAAAAGATGAATTTTATAGAGCAAGATAACAATTAACAGACAACTTAAAAGATTGCAAATTATTTGAATCAGGAAAACAAGATAAAGGAAGTGAATTTCATAGGACTGATGTTCGAGGAAAAAACTAGAAAAGTAAAGATTTTTGGAGCACTTAGAAACAGTAATAGTAAAACAAGTAATGCAAGAACGAAATTTAGTTGACGAACAGAAGGCGCTAGCCCAGAATTTTTGAAAGTAGGGATAAATTTTTAGAAAAATGTCCTGCAGCATATTCATTGCTGCACTTTCTTTATTAGGGCCTGTGACAAAAATTTCAACTTAACATGAAAGATTTAAAAGATGTATTATAGTTCAAAGCAGAGGTGGAGAGTTGAAGTCATGGGTGGTGTAGTTTTTGGAAGGAACCAGAGCATTGGGAACTGGAGCCGAAGATTTTCTGAAAGCTGGTGCTGTTGAAACACTGCTAGCACCTTTTTTAAAATTTATCAATAACATAGTTGATTTCTTGAAAAGTCATCCATTCATTCTAACTAGCAGCTCATTGAATATTTGAAAATAGTTTTTTTTTAATACATAAAATATTCTTAAATTATTTAATATCACTGAAGCTGAAGCAAAATACTTGGAAGTTGGAGCTTAGTTAAAAAGAAATTAGAACTGGAGCCATACATATCTTCCAGCTCTCCACTCCTGGTTTAAAGAATTAATGAAGTGTTTTGCAAACTGTATCTACCAAGGGTATGCTTAGTTCTGAAAAACTACTTTTTCTGCTTAAGTTGCTCTGCTCAGTTTAAAAAAATTTATAAAATTAAAACAGACCAAGTTTTTTAAACAATTAAAATGTTGTTAAGTAATTGATTTGTTTGCAACAGGTATTCACACTAAGATGCAGAAAAAGCATCCTTTGATAGCTTGTCAGAATAAGTTCATTAGGTATTTGTTGAAAAAAGTTAGAAGTACCCCTTCAAAATCCAATGGTTTAGCTAAAGAAAGTTTAGTAGGTTTGCTGCATGATTTTTGGAATCTTTAGCTATTGATGTTATGCAAAAGTAGCAATCTGAATAATGAAGAGCTTGTTCATGCCATGAAAATTGAGTAAAAAAGCAAAAAAGAGGAACAGCATTTTGCACACGCAGTGTGAGGAACAAGAGTTTTGTCTTAATTACCTATTCACATTTTAAAATAATCAAAACTGTTTTCTCAACATTGTATTTTAGAAATATAGTATTATTTTCATTAAAAAAATTTTAAGACTAAAAATGACAAACACTTTTCTAAAATTAAAAAAAAAAAAATTTTTAAATAAAAATAATAATTTTTTATTTGCTTAATGTGTTAAATTGCTTAAATTTGCTGGACACCAGACATAGTCTGGTAAAAAAACATCTACCAGTCATTTTGTCTAACCTATATATTGTGTGGAATTATTTTATAATTATTTCAGGTGTTTTAAAATTATTAGTAAATTCAGTATAGTATTTAAACTTCGTTTTTTGAACTTTTTGTTTTTTTATATAAAACAGAAAATAAAGTTGAACACTCAGTTATATTAATAATTTATATCAAAATGTTACAATTAATTATTATAATTTAAATTTATATTTTAATATTTATTTAATTTTTTCTTCAATGGTTTTTTATAAATCTCTACAAATATTTTAGCTTTTAAAATACCTTTTAAATTTATTTTTAAAAGTTTTAACATTATGTTTATTTTAATGCTTATAGTAACCAGTACTTTTTATTACTCTATTTTATGTGAGTTATATAACGTTTTTTATTACAAATTTCCCGACTCTTCCTCCTTCCCTTTTTCCTAACGCATAAATTTTTCAAAACATTAAAAGCAAAAAAACTTTTAGTTAAATCAACTTTTTTCTGTTACAAAACTATTGATTTTTTAAACTCATGAAATTCAATGCTTTTGTTTTAAAAAAACAAGTTTTAGGAGAGATAAAGAACAAGATATAGTCAAACTGCTTACTTATCCATTGCCTTTATCCCCCACCTCTCCCGCACACATTTGTACATTTTTGGGTAACAGCACATTTCGCCCCACCTCCCACCCATACATGTGTACATACTTAATGGAAGACCCCTTGTCAAAACATTCAGACTGTCCTGGTTAATAAAGTGTTATGTGTGGTCAGTAATGAAATGCATTATATTTTTGTCAGATTTTATTTCTTTTTTTTTGTCAGGATTTGATTCTTCCAAACCTAAGTTTTTATCATACAAATTGTCCAAACCAAAAAAGTTTGTTATTTCGAGCCCTGCTTGATTAAGTTGGACCGTTTTCTAATTCATACTTATTTTGAATCAAAAACTTAAATTCTATTACAGGGCTTAATTTAAAGGTCTCGGAAAAAATGTCAGACAAAATTTATTTTGGTCGGACATTGTCTAATCAAATTTTTGAAATAAAATTTGAACAAATAATTTTCACTAATATATTTACATATATTCATATTTGTTTAGTTAAAAGGAACATAGGAAAACGAAAGTTCTTTAAATGCCGAGAGCAAAAAAGTACTGCAGATGGGTTTGCTTAGACTAGCTACTGGCGTATCTGAGTTTTACGGAATTTATTTTAGGCTAGTGAAGTTGTAGTTTTTTTTCTTAATATTCAGAATTTTTATCATCTTTGTAATTTAAATGAAATACTATTTCATTTAAAATTTAAATGAAATAGTATTTCATTTAAATTACAAAGATCTACGATGATAAAAATTCTGAATATTAAGAAAAAAAACTACAACTTCACTAGCCTAAAATAAATTCTATTTCAAATTGAAATAGTTTCAATTCAATAACTTCGCATTTTTTTAGATAGACTTGAAGTTTCATTGAGTTTTTTTCTCTCGAAAACCTTGTTAGTTAACATTGAATTGCATTACCCGTTTATAAAAGTTATGTAAATTTTTTTACTTAACAAAATATAATATGCTAAGTATCAATTTTGCGCATAAGCTCCACTTTTAGAGCCAAGAAGGTATTTATATGGTGTTTATGTAACTATTTTTATCAATAATAAAAACGGCAAGAAAACAAGTTTGTTATAGTAATATAGTATAATAATGTCTTAAATATATTAAATATTAAGATAAACATATTGTTTTTAAACTTTATATAAATAATAAATAAATCAGATTTCATTATCTGAAAGCAAACTTTCTTGCTCAGAAACATTTTCGAAGAGGTTAGTTTCATTATTTTGTTCTTCCTCACTACTATCATCACTTAACATGCTTATTTTTTTTTTCTTTTCTAAATTTTTTTATACTCTTTGCAGCATTGTTGTGTTGGACGACATTTGTGTAATTCCCATTTTTCAATTGCAGGCATTACATTATACATTTCTACAGGTGGACCGAGTTCACCTATTCTTAATAAATGTTCTAATCGTTGAGTAGACAATGAGCATCTAAAGTCAGTTTTAACCACATTCAACTTTGAAAACATACTTTATAGCTAAGAGTTGCACATGGGGATGGTAGAAAGTAGTTCAACTAATGCCAAAACATCTTTCCAGCTCTTACACCACGGAGAAGATAATATTTTTCTCCATGTACAAATTATGTTTGTGTTGAGATTGAAAGATACTCATGTAAAATGTATATATATATATATATATATATATATATATATATATATATATATATATATATATATATATATATATATATATATATATATATATTACAATCTTTATAGAAATAAAAAGAAAAAAAATACAAATAAAGATATAGTTTTAAAAAACGAATACTGAATAAAGAATCGGAAAACTCAAGGAGAACCAGGATGCCACCGAGAAACCAGTTAAACTAAAATAGAATGATTTGGATGATCATAACATTAATGTTTAAATGTATATCTTTTTAATGTTTTTTTTTTTTTAAATATTGCATCGATGAGATTTCAGCCTATAAAAAAACACCATTGTAAAATCATTTATTATCAACTTTTCGGTGTCCACAGCGTTTGCAGTAACCAATCAAACATACTTTGACTTACTTTGTAAAACAAAATATTTTTCAATGAGAGTTTATTCACTCTATTAAAAAAAAATTAGCTACACCAACTTTCCCCATTCTGATATAACTAAACTTTTTTTTAAGCTTCTTTTCATTATTGTAATCTCCATTTTTTGACTTCTTGAAAAAACTTATAAAATTTTTTACATAAATCAATAGAATTCAATAATGCGACATTTCTTAGATTAGGCGCCTTTTCAAAGTTAATTTGCTCATTTGCATTTTATAATATCCCATTTTGCGATCCTTTTAAATAAGCAATAATTTTAAATTTAATAATGGATGATATCTGCTTTAATAGCTGGATGATATCTGTTTCCTTTAATGATCTGGCTTCGAGTTTTGTCCTTTCGACCATCAAAATATAACCTTTCCAATGTTTTTGGCAGCACCAGCTTGTAAAATTTTTCTCTTTTTCTGTCTTTCTCTACAAATTTTACTTGGGTCAATAACATCAGATGAGTCATGTGCATTAATAATGCCATAATCAACCAAAACAGCCGATGCTAATGCTGCAATGCGATCCGATACTCCCCATCGATCACATTCAAAAGCTAATATTGGTAGTGGAGTTTGCATTTGAGAGTTCAAAATTTCTTGTGAGCTTGTAATATTAGTTGATGATGGTGACTTAGGCGAGTCTGTCATGAAGTCAACATCTTCATTACTACCTCTTTCGGTGATAGCTTCATGTAAATCACCTAACGTGACATCATTACAATCATCCTCCAAGCTACTATCTGGATGCGATTTCAAAGTTTCAGTATTTGTAATTGATTCACATTCATAAAATCTCAATTCATCTGCAAGTTTTCTTTTCAGTTTCTTTTCCTGCTGCTTTGTTGTTTTAATATCAATGTTGCCAATAGCCATTTTCCTTTCTGTTCTTTGATCTGCAAGGATTATTATTTTATTTGGTAGAACTTTACGATTCTTTTCACAAGCACAAGTCTTTACATTTACATGAAGCAATATCAAAAATTCGTTTTGAGTCATTTTTGAAGTTTTCAACTTTGTTCAGGTACTGTGACTCCTTACCCTTAAACCTCATGAATAGACAATTTGCAAACCCAGGCAAAATGAATTAAATAAAAAAATTTTCACTGCACCCTGCTGTCAGGTAACAATGCTGAATAAAAAAACAAAAATAACATAGTCTATTCTTTTCTGTATAAAATTTTATTTTTTGCGCAAAAAAATTTTTTATGGTCATAAAAAGTGAAAAGAAACCAAGCTAAAGCAGTTAAAAGATTACTTTATAAGCGCGCTTAACATTTTTTTTTTTAAACAATTTGTAAGTGTCATTTTTATTAAAGTGAGGGAAATTCAAAAAAATAAAAAAATTAAATCATAGTATTTGTGAAATTAAACAATACATAATAAATTTTTTTACTCAGTAAGGCATATGATTTCAAATGTAGCAATAAGTAAATTAAACAATGCATAATAAATCTTTTTACTCAGTAACGCATATGATTTTTTTACTCAGTAACGCATATGATTTCAAATGTAGCAAAGTACAATAGTTGAGAAAAAAAAAAACTTAAGTAAAAGTAAAAGTACACATTTAAAAAAATACTTAAAAAGTAAAAATTCTCAAAATAACAACTCAATTACAGTAACGTGAGTAAATGTAATTCATTACTTTCCACCTGTGGTATGAAGATTATTAAAACATTTTGGCTTTTAGAAAAATTTGAACAGTTAAAATGTTTCTTAAATTCAGGTACGTAAGTACTTTTAAAAATCAGTCATATCAGGGTTTTTTATTAACAGAATAGTAAAGGAGTGAAATAAACTACGTCATTTAAACAGCAATATCAGTTGATGAAGATAATATTGACCAACTAAGCATGGATTGCTCTAGTATTATTAAATACTGTTGGTGGGCTGCATAGTTATATAAACTTACATTAATAAATGCTCTATGATTATTTTTTGTTTGTAAAATTAAAACCTTTGTGTTGTTACGTTATTTGTGAAGTTTTTGTTTAATACTATAGAAAGAAGCTGGCGAACAGCTTAGGCTGATTCTTTCTAATAAAGATGACCAGTAGCAGTAAATGATTTTTTACCCTTTTGTGGCTCAGTTTAATAATATGGCAGTGTTAATGGCAGCTAATTGGTTGAGAAATATCCAAAATCCAAATCCTTTGATCAGGCTCAGCTTATTGCATTTAAAACATTCAATGGAGTCAAACAAAAGGCTTTATGAATGTTTTTAATTTTTTATATAGAGTTTTTTTTTTCTTTCAAAAGAACAAAAAAACAAACAAAAGCTTCCACTGTAGTGGCCTCTTCATTCTTGGGAAGTAAATAATAATCATTAAAAAAAAAATTTTTTAATGATTTTTATTCTTCCAATAATACCTAAAGTTCATTTTGTTATCAAGCATATACTTGGGTTTATTGACAATTAGGCTGAAAAACTTGATATTTCCAGTAAAACTAAAAAATAACTCTTAAAAAAATTTTCATAAAATGTCTTAGGTTTTGAAGAAAGTAAGGATCAAAATCAGTTTGAAAATCAATTGAAAGTATTATCTATTTATATATACAGGGCTCGAAATAACGCAAAAAAATCTAATTGCAAAAATTTTTTTGCCCCCTCCCCCTTCTCCCCCTTCTCCCCCTCTCTCTCTCTCTCTCTCTCGATAATGGGGGGGAGGTTGCAGTAGTATAAAATTGTACCTTTTGTAAATATAATTTTCAGCCTAATAATTTAAAGTTTAAGTTGCGGTTGTAACGAGCAAGTAACATTTAATACTCTTAAGATATTACTTTTAGTAATCGTTTTTTCTTAACATGACACTTAAAAAGTAAAAGTAAAAAAGTAAGAATAAAAGCGTAAATATTACAATATTTAAACAGCAGTTTTTCAAAACGCCATAAGATGCTTATTACATATTTTAAGAAAAATGCAATTAAAAAAAAATTAATAGTAGAAACTCTTTGTAAAATGTCTTTTGAAACTAATAGTTTTTATGAATTTCTCTGAATTTCTTCAAAAATATTCATTCGATAATGTTCGTAGACATCTAATTTAGCTTATTTTGTAAAAAAATAAAAATTGATTTTTTTTTACCTTAAAACGTTTTAAAAAATGGCTGCAGAATTAGTCATAGAACTATTTACGTTCACAATGACAATAAATTATGTGTTATTTTTAAAGAGTATTTAACTGGTATTGTAAAACAACAATAAAACAAACTGCAAAGTTGTTTTAAATATATAAAGAAAAATATAAAGAGTTTTATACTTTAATAACATTAGATAAGTTTAAAATAAAACGAAGTAAATAAATAGAATTTTTCTAATTAACAAATTAAAACATTATCTTCATAAAACTTTAAACTTCATATTTGCGCAAAAACACGCCTATAGACTATGTTAGTCTACAATAGACCAAATGAGTAAGATCAAAACAAAAAAGCATTAGATATCACATTTTTTATAATTTATTGTTTCTTGATATAGCGTACTATTTAAAAATTAAGTATAAGTTTTACATTCAAATGACTTGTGGATGTTTTCATTCAATTTTCTCATTCAAAATATTTTGACTTACTTTATGACCCCTAATAAAAGACTTTGACAAAAACATTATTTTTAAGAATGGATGAAATAAATTATAAATTAAAAAAGGTAATCAAAAAAAACAAATCACGAAAATATTTTTTTTTTAAGAAAAAACTAATCGCGAAGGTATAAAAAGCAATCATGATTCGCAATCATGATACGCTTATTTCGAGCCCTGATATATATTTTTAACATTTATAGTATTGAACATTTTATGTAAAAACAAAACAGTAGCACATTTTAGTTTTTTTAGAATTTTGTTATGTCCATATAAGAACCCAAAACCAGTACAAAAATTTTATTCCATGCCTGTATGTGATGCTAATCTTTTCATGTGTTTTTTTAGAGTTTTGTTATATATGCAACCTGTTATTTAATGATCTCTTTTTTTTATGTGCTTAGAATTAATTTGATTTGTTGTGCTTTTTTATGTTTATTTCTTAGTATTTGCTTGGAGCCTTGTTGCAAGTAAATTTATATTAGAAAAAAATTTTTTTTTGAGACTCTACCAGTTTGAATTGTAAACTTAAATTATTATTGTTGTTTGTTAATAATACATTATATACTGGAACATTTTTAGATTGACGATGTTGTAATGGTAAATGTTCGCTCCATTGCTGATATGGGAGCTTATGTTCATCTTCTTGAATACAAAAATATAGAAGGGATGATTTTACTCAGTGAGTTGTCTCGTAGGCGTATTCGTTCTATCAACAAACTTATCCGTGTTGGAAGAAATGAGTGTGTTGTTGTGATACGAGTTGATAAAGAAAAAGGTTTGTTAAAAAAAAAATTTTTTAATAAAATTTATTAGTAATGTTTAAAAATTAAAAAAAAAATTATGAGCACAGATTATAATAAGAATATATGCAATATCTATCTACAAGTAACTTTAAAGTTGCTAAATTGAGCTATGATAAATTAAAAAAAAAAATTCCTTAAACTTATTATTAGTATATTTTTGTTAAGTAAAACAGTAAATTTCATAATATATTATTATGATTAAATTTAATATGATTTTTTTAAAAAACAAATTCACTCCCAACAAGGCTACAAGTAATTAAATTTGACAACCAACTAATTAAGTCAGGAGTTGATAAAAAGCAAAAAAGAGAACTAGAGAGCAAGAAAGCGACTTAAAAAACTGTAAATTGTATTTGTCAAAAAAACACGAGGAAGAGAATTCCAAAGCATCGATATTTGTGGGAAAAATTAGATAAAATATTTTTTGGCTAAAAGGAACAGTTCTGTAAAAGAATGTACCTTTGAATGAAAAGTCACGCAAGATTGAGTTTTGGTTGACAGAAAAAGTGATAGCTCATCTAAGCAGCCATCTTGGTAATGCTTGTAGAAAAGAGAGAAAAAAAGCAATTTTGCCTGCTACTAATGCAACTAATGTACGATAGAGTGTTTCTTTTATAAGAGTTAACAAGTCAGCAGTGGAACAAAAAGATCAAAATTTATATCGATTGTCAGAATAATTTGTTAGACTCAAGATGTTGGAAATTTGTTAAATAAGGATTATTAAATACCTTTTAGATAGTAATAGACCTTGAAGCGTTGTGAATTTTATGTATGAAATAGTAATCTCATCTATGCATTAAGCCATTTACATTATTCCAAAACTTTTTTAATTAGATTATTTAAACAGTCTTTTAAAATAGTTTATGCAAAAAACCAAAAAAAATTTATTTAAAAAATTTTATTTTAATTAAATTAATAAATGTAAATTTATTTTATTAAATTTAATTTTAATTTTTTTTAAAATTCTATTTTACTCTATTTTGCTATTTTTTCAATTATTCTTTATATTTTTATATTAATTCTATTCTACTCTATTTTACTATATTTTTTTTTGGTAATGAAAGTTCTTTTTATAAAATTCCATTTTAATTACTTTATTATGTTCATTTTACATTCAACTTAGGGTTTTTAATTTATAATAATTTCAACAAGAAAGCTGACAGTTGCTTCACAAAAGATTTCAGTCTTTATCTCTAATCCAGGATAATTATAGTGCATGCTGTTCCAGCTGCTAATTTTGACACAACAAGCTGTTTATTGGCACTGTCATGTGCTGTCAGTATTCTAATAGTCTGTCCTATATGTATACATCTGAAACTGCTGAATGTGCGATGTAGTGGCAACTTCAAAATTAGCCTTCTCTGGCCGTGCTGCATTTTCTTTTTGTCTCTGGATAACATGTTCTGGCTTCTTTGCCAATAGAGTTTGTCCGAATTGTTTGAAAATGCTGACTCTCGCTATTTTTGAGATTCTGATAAACGTCCCTTGTTCTTCTTCAATAACAACCAGCTGCCATGTAAATCTTCAAGTCTATTAATCACATTTCTCGCAATAGTTGTGAGAATGGCAGCCCTGGTCCAAAGCAACAATACTGTGTCAACTGTTGTGTGACTAGCATTTCTGACTGACTTTAGTTGTTTCAGGTGATGTTGAATGACTTGCTTAGTCGTTGGCAGCTATTTTAACGTTGTGGTTCTAAATCGCATAGTCCAATTAAATATAACTCGCTTTTTGTGCATGTCAAATTTGATGTTATCAATGTCTCAAACTCTAAAAACATTGAAAGCAAAACTTGTAACTGGCAGACTAAGATTGGGCCTATTTTACTCACATACATTATCATTGGCATTCAGTGCCTATTACTAATCTACCAATATAAATTGTTTAAATTCTTATTTTTGCTACTGAAGTCACCAATTATTCAGATTACTTAATTACTAATGCTTATATTAATTAACATTAATAATGAGATTTGTTAAGTTTGAAGAAATTAGAAATTTCCTTAAACTTAACAAATCTAGGGATTCTTCCCGTGAATTCTTTCCTGGGAATTTCCTGGGAAAAATAATAATCTAAATTTCCGTAGTCCTGGGAAATTTTTCTGGGATCCCGAGATTTTTGAACATACATTTTCTAACTTTCCTGCCAAAATCTAAAGTGTATTGTTTTCGGGACCATAAGAAATAATGTTTATTTATAGTTTTTACATATTGAAATTTATGACAGCAAATTAGAAATTAAAAAAAAATGCCTTTAAATCTAAAAACTTCTAAAGTTTGGAGTTATTTTGATTCTTAAAATTCGAGGCACAATTTAAACATTGTCCAAAGGTATTATGCAAAGCTGGTTCGACTGTTGGATTGAAAAGACATTTAGAAAAAATCCACAACATAATTTTAATCTATTGACATTTAATTGAAAATTTTTCAAAATATCTAGAACCTATTGTCTTAGGTTCTGAAATGATTTGTAGAAGGGAAGCAACATTATTAACAGCTGACAGCACATTAAAATTTATGGTTAAAGAGCTTGATGTTCAAGATTACTACCTAGCAAAGGATCTTAAAAATGCTTTAATTGATAGAATACGTCAAAGAATAAAAAATGATCTTGTTGATTTATTAAGATTTTTAGATAATCCACAATCTCTAAAAAATGATATGGATCCTGTCTAAAACAGTTATGATTAATTTAGCTATTGAAATATCTGGTCGACTTTTTCCAATAATTGAAAATATAGCAAAAGAAATAGACGGCAGTAGCAAAGTTAACAATAGTGTAAATATAAATCAGGCATCTAAATCTATGGCTGCTAGATTAGAAAAATTTGTAAAAAAAAGGATGACTTTAAAGTTAAGTGTAATAAACCAACTATGCGCCAAGAATTTAACTTGTTTGAAGCGACAAATAAAAGATTGCATAGTTTAGATATGCTTTATAATGCGCTTTTAACTATTCGTCCATCCAGTGTTGAGGCTGAAAGGGTGTTTAGTTCAACTGGATTTTTATTTACAAATTTTAGAACTAGATTAACAGACAGTCATCTTAATGCACTGGTGTTTCTAAGAAGTCACTTTAAATTCAAAAATAGTTAAAAAAAAAGAGAAAAATAGAAAAGTGTTATGTTATTTGATTTTCTTTAAAAAAAACCCGCAATCCCTAAACAAATCTCATTCAATGCTTAAAATTCAATGTTTACAAACAAACAGGTTGATGCACAATCTTAAACAAGAGAAGTCAGTCGATATTTAAATTATGTTAAAAAAACTCCAAAATAATATATTGTGAAATTTTGATGTTTTCTGAGCACTCCATTCCACTTGGTTTAGGAAACCAAAAATTGGCCAAAACAATACACATGATATGTCTAACAAACGCCGGGGGTACCCTACCTTATTGCTTAAAGTTTTTTTCTGGGCCACACTTATATTTATATATATATATATATATATATATATATATATATATATATATATATATATATATATATATATATATATATATATATATATATATATATATATATATATATATATGTATATATATATATATATATATATATATATATATATATATATATATATATATATATATATATATATATATATATATATATATATATATATATATATATATATATATATATATATATATATATATGGGCGATTCCAAGAGAGTGGCAGTTGTAACATTTTTTTAAATTTTAATTCATCTCCTCAAGGCCGAGAAGGCCACTACAGACGAGGAGGCTACTTATTTGTGGCTATATTGTGGCATTCAACGCTCTGTAAGTTATTGAAAATAAATCCAAAATAGAAATGACATGAAATTTTCCGGAAATTTTAAATGTTATTATGTAATTTAGTATGTAAAAGTTACAGCATTAAAGTCTTCAACTTTTTTCAAAAATTAACTCTAAGTATTATGATTGTCGTACTTTTTACTACTTCTGAACAAAACAACTTTGTCATACCTAATGCAGCGAACGGCATGTTACAAAATAATGATAATAATTTTTCTAACAATAAAGTTTAACGGATTTAGATTTTAAATTTATCTTTTTTGTTTTTATGTTTTTCTATTTATGTTTGTTGTGATAAAAAAGACTTCACAGAATTCACACATACTACACTACTTCTGTAAAACGAATTAAACGTTAGACGATGTATTTTACTGATGACATAAATAATTAATTGAGTGTATTCATTATATAATTATTATACTTAATTACTGCTTTGAATAATAATTATAGTGAGTACTTGTGATTCTTAAATAAAAATTACAAAAAAATATTTTAATACCTAAAATTATCTTAAAAAAAGCTGATATATTTTAAATTTTAATTTGCTTGCAAATGGGTAGAAAAGCAGTGTCAGAGAGCATCAAATAGCAAATTATTGGACTGCTCAAATCAAAGAATCATAATTATATTATAATATATATATCATAATATTAAAAATATTAGAATATATATTAGGGTGTCCATTAAAACAAAATATTTGAAAATAACCTGCTCTCACCCCCTAAATGTGTGTTCTATCTAATATAGAAGCACTACATTTAAATTTTTTTGAATAAAAAATATTTTAAGGTGTCCCCCAAGACCCTCGACTATTTAATGAGTCCCTAATATTTTCAAAAAAAAAATTTTTTCTATTTGAAAATATTAGGGACTCTTTAAATATTCAAGAAAAATTGCACTTTTTAACGAAAAATGGAAAAAATACATTTTTTATGATAATTTTGATAAGTTAAAATTTTTTCGAAATTAATATTATTTTTGAAATTTTTATATAATTATACTTCATTTGAGTACCAGGTTGACATTTTTGAAAAACTTAAAATATTTTTTGTTCAAAAAAAATTTAAACTTAGTGTTTTTGTATTAGAACACATTTAGGGGGTGAGAGCAGATCATTTTCAAAAATGTTGTTTTAAGGGACATATATATATATGTATATATAAAATATAGATTAACTTAAATATATAACATTTTGGTGCATTTTTTGCACTTTTTTTTTTTTCCCCATTTATTTATTTTATTTAGGATATATTGATTTGTCCAAGCGTAGAGTGTCAATAGAAGAAGTAAAAAAATGTGAAGAAAAATATACTAGGGGTAAAACAGTAAGTCAATTCATTTTCCATGCAGTAAGTCTATCTTGACAAACAATTTTACTATTTATTATTTTTAAATTATTTTTATATTGGTGGTCAACCATTCCAGGTAGGACCTCCTTGATTTTCAAAAATTAGTAAAATATGAATTGCCCTAATATAATTATATATATATATATATATATATATATATATATATATATATATATATATATATATATATATATATATATATATATATATATATATATATATATATTTATATATATATATGTATATATATATATGTATTTGTATATATATATATATATATATATATATATATATACATTTTTTATATAGTTATATATATATATATATATATATATATATATATATATATATATATATATATATATATATATACATTTTTTATATAGTTATATATATATATATATATATATATATATATATATATATATATATATATATATATATATATATATTTGTTATATAGTTGGTTTGTTATATGATGGTTTGTAAATTTCTATTTGTGCTGATCATTTTAAAAAACACCAAAAATGTAAACAAAGTTAAACTTAAAAGGAATGATGCAAGTATAGTCATCCAGAATAAAATATAAAAACATTTTTATAAACAAACAATCATCAAAAAAAAGTTTAAAAAAAAATATTGTTTATTTGGTTGACAAATCTTTACTAAATCTCAGACAGCTCATCCACAGAGTTTTTTTGATACCATGTCTTCAAACACAAACAAACATGACTTTAAACACTAGCTATTTATAAAGAGCTTGTAAGGTTAGCTAAGAATCATGACAGATTCATAAATGAGCCTGCTGCCATCATGTCAGAGAGCTCCATATAAAACACTTTACAAATAGTAACAATTAAATTATTCAAAAGTAATGATTTACAAAAACATTTAAATTCACATGTAAAAACAAAGAAAATAACTCTTCAGTGGAAAAAGAAACTAAGTTTCCTTTTTCCACTGACAGATATTTCTTGAAATCAGTAGAAATATAGTAGAAATGAAATTAGTAAATCCACATTTCATTATTTTTTTAATTTAGACAAAACCATTGGCAAATGTGCCATTATACTAAATATGATCCTAATATTAAGAATGAGTGTACATACATCGGCTGACTTGAATATGAAGATCATGCAAGTAACATGCCACTACATTGAATAAGCGTTTTAGTTTTGGAAGGCAATCTATCAATTAAAAAAATATTTTTATAGTTTTTAAACTCGTCTTTTTTTCCCATTATATGTCAACATAAAGTTTTTTTTTAAAAACCTTAATAAAGTAAAATCAGTGGCAAATTGCTCACCATAAAATAAAGTTCTGCACACCAATCAAAATGGTTAAATAAAAACTGAAAAAATATAACTATGAAAAAATTAAAATAGATTCAAATACACGATTATCTTTTCTATACAAATTGATAAAATTGTTTGCTGATTTAACTTGTAACTATCGTTGTGAACACAATAGTGCTAGAACTAAAACTTGTATAAAAATAATTTTGACACTATCTTGCTGGAAATTTTATTTCCATTCTGATAGTATAATATTTATATAGCTAGGACAAAAAATTGAACAAAAAATCAAATAAGCCAAAATACTCTCTTTTCTGATAAAACTGCACACTCAATTAATTACTTTATTTAGTTTTTTGCAAGTGACTAAATGCCTATCTGTATGTAATTAACAGTGTTGATTCAGTTTAATTAAAAATAAATTATTATGTTGTTTGTCAATACAATCATCACTCACTTAATTCAAAATTATTAAGTAATTATTAAATAACTAAAATTATTAAATAACTAAAAAACAAAAGTATACAAAAATGATATACTAGCCATGATAGCTGATTTGAAAGAAAAAAAAAATGTCACTGAGAAAAATTGTATTTAAACACAGCGTTCCAATCTCAACGCTCAACAAACAGCAACAACAAAGGTTTTCATGGCTCAGGTACAAAACTTTACTCTCAAATTAAACAAAAATAATGATGGTGCATGGGTTCCAATCACTATTTTTTTAAAAAAAAACATCTTTGCTTCCAACAAGGCTGCAAGCAACCACTAATTAGTGTTGGAAGGTACTGGAAGAGAAAAGATGAAGATTGTAGAGCAAGATATTGATTGACAGACGACTTAAAAGATTGCAAATTATATGAATCAGGAAAGCAAGATGAAGGAAGCGAATTCCAAAGAACTGATGTTCAAGGAAAAAAACTAGACGAATAAGAGTTTTTGGAGCACTTAGAAACAGTAACAGAAAAAGGATGAGACTTAATTGAATGACGAGTAACACGAGAATGAATTTTAGTAGATGGCACAAGAGACGCTAGCTCTTTAGAGCAATGCCTATTATAGTATTTGTAGAAAAGAGAAAGAAAAGCAACATGACGGTGTGACAAAAGCTGTAGGTTGGCTGCAAGAGCAGGTCCAACTATGTTTACAATGCGTTTTTGCACCTTGTCTAAAAGAGAAAGGGCATCATTAGAAGATCTGCCCCAGATATGGCAACAGTATTCCATACAAGGACGGATTTGAGATTTATAGAGATAGAGAGTAGAATCCAGAGTTAGAAAGTGTCGAGCTCGATAAAGAGATGCAACTTTAGCATATGCTAATTTTGCAACAGATTTGATATAAGGTTTCCAAGAAAGATCAGAAGTAAAGTTAATCCTAGAAGATGAAGGGTAGATGATTCATCAAGTACATTACCATTTATAAATATAGGAAGGTCTAAATTATTGCGATAATGATTGGCTGAAAAAAATTGAGTTTTATCTGAATTAAAGTTCACCAGCCATTGTGAGCCCCATGCTGTAGTAGAAGTGAGATCCTTTTCAAGCTCAAATGCCCCCTGCAAGCAATCAGAGGGAGTTGGCTTCTTATAATGACAAGAATAAATAGTAGTATCATCAGCGAACAATGCCACCTTAGATGAGAGAATATCTGGAAGATCATTAATGTAAATTAAAAAAAGTATAGGGCCAAGGATTGAACCTTGAGGAACCCCTGAGGTAACAGAATAAGAAGAAGAGTGATGTCCATCAAAGACAACTTTAATACTACGATTGGAAAGGAAGGATTCAATAATCTTAAAGATGTTTCCAGATACATCATAACTAGAAGGCTTATGGAGAAGACCAGCATGCCAAACTTTATCAAACGCTTTAGAAATGTCAAGAGTGATGGCCTTAACTTCTAAATCTGAGGTGATTTAAAATTTTCATAGATTCTTAAACATCAGACAATTTCTTTTTTGAAAAAACTTTTTTCAAAGTATGTTATGTTGGTTTTAAAAAAAGCGAATTTTTATTAAAAAAAATTGAAAAATTATTATTTTATATATACAATATTGGTTTACATTTTATGGCTTAAAAATTATTTAAAAACAAAAATAATTAACATTTTTTTTAATTATTTTTTTAAATTTCTTATAAAATTTAACTTCTTTTGAGACCCAACAAGGATCTTGTGCAACCTCTAAATATGCTTCAAGTTACATATTTTTACCAAATTTTTGTTTTTGGTTCCAATGGGCTTTTATTTTTTGAAAAAAAAAAATTTTGGACCACTCTAGTATATATGGATAGTTAAGCACCAAACCATCCTATTCAACAAAGTTGAAAAAAATTAGTTTACATTAAAAAATTATTTATGTAAACACCAATATGCTATACTTAAAATTTTTAAGTGCTCTGAACTGCAATTACTTTTAATTTTTTTAGTTGATAGGCTTTTGTTAAAAACTTTTAAACTTTATGACTCGTTATCTCATTTCAATATATTCGTTGTATAGGCTGGTTTGGCGCTAAGTCGTTCATATGTTGCTCTAATAAAAAGAAATACTTTAATAAAAAAGTGATTGCAATATCTGGAGCAACTTATTTTATTTAAATTCTTTCTTTTAATCATGGTTAGTCCTGCAAACATAGAAAGACCTTATTGTTCTTGGTCTGTTGATATCAAAGCAATAAAAGTTGCAGTCTAGTAGTTTAGACTAACTTATGCAAATAGTTTGTCTGGATATTGAATGATATGAATAAATTTTTGGTATGATTAGAGATTTTATTCTAATTTGATTTTAGACTTTTTATTGATTTTTTTTTAAATAATGTAGGTTTTTATTTAGCACTTTTTTGAATAATAAAAACTTGAAAAATTTTTGTTTTTTAAATTTTCATTGATGCCAACTAATCATAACAAATTTCTTGGATGATGTTAAAAGTTTGATGTTTATAATTTTATTTCTTGGATGATGTTAAAAGTTTGATGTTTATAATTTTATTTCTTGGATGATGTTAAAAGTTTGATGTTTATAATTTTATTTCTTGGATGATGTTAAAAGTTTGATGTTTATAATATAAAAAGAATAAATGATAAAAAGAGTAATTGAAATGATTTAAATAGGTAGCGAGTATTCTACGTCATGTTGGGGAATTGTTAAAATATGAAACGGACGAGCAGCTAGAAAACTTATTTGAAAAAACTGCATGGTTTTTTGACGATAAGTATAAAGCAACTGGTGGAGCTTACGAAGCTTTTAAACACGCTGTTAAGTAGGTTGTTTTGTTGTTAAGTTGTTTTGTTTTTAGACTTTAAAGATTAGTTTTATTTAAATCTTATAATTTTTTTTTTTAGTGAACCTTCTATTTTAAATGAATGTGACTTGGACGAAAAAACAAAAGAAATACTTATTTCTAATATAAACCGACGAATGATGCCTCAAGCTGTAAAGGTTCGTGCTGATGTTGAAGTCAGCTGTTACAGTTATGAGGGTATTGATGCTGTTAAATCAGCTCTTCGCAAAGGATTGCTTTTCTCAACAGATGACATGCCTATAAAGGTTTGCCTATAAAAACAGATGAAATGCCTATATTTTGTTTGATTGTATGAATTAAATTCAGCTATTATTTTTATCTAATAGTTATTTTTATTTTTATTCCAGATTAATTTAATAGCACCTCCACTTTATGTAATAAGTACAACGACATTAGAAAGAGAACTAGCTCTAGAGGTTCTTGGTAAATCAATTGCCGCTATCAAAGAATCTATAGAAAAAAGTAGCGGAAACTTTGTTGTTAAAATGGAGGTAAATTTTTCAGATTTAAAATCAAGACTATAAATGGGCAAGAAACAAGTTTTTTTTTTGTTTGTTTTCTTTTTTAGCCTAAAGTAGTCACTGACACAGACGAGGCTGAGCTCTCAAAAGAACTTGCTCGTTTGGAGCAAATGAATGCAGAAGTTGATGGCGACGATTCTCCTGATGAAGATAACGAAGGTTCGGGTAACGAAGATGATGAAGATGATGGAAAACCAGATCCTGAAGCCTAATTTTTCAAACAAATAAATAAATTTAAAAAGATAATATTTTTATTTTTTTATTTCAACAACTATTTTAAAATTTTGCAATTAAAGGTGTTTTTTAAAAAGCAGAGTTTTACCAAATGTTAAGGAAAAAATTTTAATTGGAAAACTTTAAAAAATTAACTTCAAATTTCCAAAAAGTTCAACTTGGGTAATTTTTAAGTCAAATAGACAAGTCTGAAAAATTTTTCTGGAATAAATCGAAAACCAAAAAAAAAAAATTCTATAAAGTTTAAAAAAAACATCAAAAGCATCTAAAACTATTGAAAGACTCAAAGATTTAATATAGGAAGAAAAAAAAAGATCGAAATTTAAGTCAAAGAATTATTGACCTATTGAAAAATGTTAAAGAAAATAGTGACTGAATAATTTTCTTCTTTTTTCAATAAAAATTAAGCGTTAAAAATCTTACACTAAAACAGATTTATTACTAGTTTTACCATATCGCGACGTTAGAATTATCTTGTGCTATCTCCAATTTTTGAAAAAATTGAGATTTTATTATTTTCGAATATTTTAGCATTGTGTTGTTCTAACTCTAATTATATTGAAAAAAAATGAAATTTTTAACACGGTATTGCATGCAATATTGCATTGTTCTATCTCCTTAATGAGCAAACTTGAAAATATTATCTTGTTCTATCTCCAATCAACCAATCATATTACAATTACAAAGTTGTTTGGAATAATTTTATCAGTTTTGTTGTTTTCAAAATGGCAACTGCAAATATTGACCAAGAAATGGAACCTGCCCTAAATCAAAACGAAGGTAGTTTTTCAACTTAATTTGTATTATAATTTTGGAAAAGTAGAATTCGACTTTCGCTTGTGCCATTTTAGATTAAATTTAAAAGTTATTTTTTATACATCCTGGATAATAAAAAATTAATATTTTAATCGTTAGAGCTGCTTGGCATTACACCTTCTCGTCGGTCGCCCCATGGTGGGGTTTCTAGGAAACGTAAAGCTGATAGGAGTAGTTGGAAACAAAGTGTAAGAAAAATCCAACGTCAGTCGGGTAAAGCTTATAAAAATACGAAAGGAGAACAAATGCCAAAAAGATCTATTGTTGCGCTAAAAAGTTGCAGAAATTGTAAATTTGAATGTTCTACCAATATATCTGAGATTGAGCGTCAAATAATATTTGATAACTTTTGGACCTTAGATGATGACGGAAAAAAACATTTCTATTCTAAAACTACTGAAAATCTGGAGATAAAACGCTGTCGGACAGCTGCTGGTGACAATTCAAGAAGAAAAACATCTTATTATTATAGCTTTTTTGTTTCTATTACACAATATAGAGTTTGTAAATCATATTATTTTTCAACATTGAATATTAGCAGCCATAGAGTGTTTTACTTTCATAAGTTTAATAAACCTTTAACTACTGGAACACCATTTCAATCAAAATCAGGGAAACATGTTAAAAAAAGGTTACTAGAAGAGTCTAAACAAGTTGTACGAGACCATATTAACCTTTTCCCAAGAATTGATGCTCATTATAGCAGGAAAAAGACACATAAAGAATACATGGAAGGATCACTAAATATAGGTAGAATGTATGATCTTTATAAAATATATTGTGATGAAAATGTCTCTCCTCCAGCAAAACATATGTATCATTATATCTTTAATCACGAGTTCAATATAGAATTTCAAAAACCGAAGAAAGATTTATGTGACACATGCTATGAGTATCGCAACATTGTTAATGCAAGCAATGAACAAACAGATAGTTATAATAAGCACATAAAATCAAGGAATGATACCAAAACTGAACGTGAAAATGATCGCCAAAATGTTGATTCTAAAACTGCAATTGTTTGTATTGACCTTGAAAATGTTTTAAATTTGCCTAGAGCTAATGTGGGAAACTTTTATTACAAACGAAAACTTTCAAATTATAACTTAACTGGTCATTGCTCGCTTAACAGGAAGGGTTATTGCATCCTTTGGCACAAAGCCATGACTGGTCGTGGAGGAAATGATCTAGCCAGTGCTGTAACATGTTTGCTTTTGAAAATCATGGCTGACCTTGACATAAATAAGTTCATACTTTGGTTCGATTCATGTGTACCACAAAACCGCAATAGTTTCATGTCAGCAGCTTTGTGTGAATTTATAATACGATACCCACAAATAAAAGTAATTGAACAGAAGTTCTGCGAGCCAGGTCATTCCAGCATTCAAGAATGTGACAACATTCATAGTCAGATTGAAAAATCCCTCTCTGCTGCAGAAATATTTAGTCCACTTGGGCTAGAAAGAGCTATTAAAAATGTAAACCGTAAAAAACCTTTCTGTGTTTACCAAATGCAATTAGGAGATGTAAAGAACTTTTCAGTTGTCGCTGGTTTGTCAAGTTATAAGTTAGTGCCTTATTCAAAGGTTAAAAATCTTGTTTATCAAAACGGACTGCCATACCATGTTTTTTTTAAAACCTCGTTTTCAGATAATTATTCACAAGCTCGTATAAATAAGTCTGTCAAGAAAGCAGCATCAACCATTGTTGCAAAACCATTAATTACCAATATACCAATGGCAGCTTGCTTTCGTGCTTCTTATCAGTCTATATCTGTTGCAAAAGCCAATGATATATTTTCCATGTATTCATACATGCCTGCTGTTGATATTGCATTTTATAAAACAATAATAAATTGAACATTTACAAAACATTAATAAAGTCAAAATATTTTTAGGGTTGTTATATGTTTAGTATAAATATAAATAACATATTTATATATATATAATAATATAAATAATATACATATAAATAACATATTTAAATAAAATATTTATTTAGTATAAATATAAATATAAAACACATTGAAATAATATTATTTTGAAATCTTGATAAAAATTTTTGTTTAGCTTGTGTTTTTTTTGTTTGTTTTTTTGTACTTTTATATTCATTTTCCCCCACTTGTTTGGTTTGGATGGTTTTCCATAGTGACATAAAGGCCACTATGAAAGAGTTAAAGCAATGTTTCACAACCTGATGCCCTTCCTGACGTTAACTTGAGTAACAATTTTTTATTTGTAAATATTTGCAATAACTTTTAATAAAAAGTTAAACTCTATTAATGGATACACAGGCATAAGAAAAATAAAATCAAGTTCATCTTGCATGGAGTTTGTGATTAGATTAGTTGAATTGTTGTGAATTATCAGATAGTTACATAATGTTATTTCTTTTATTATTACATTTTTTTTAACATAACTCTTTCCTATATACCTTTCATAATTTATTTTATACGTTTATATTATATTAATACGTTTATATTATTATTACGCAGCCAAATTTTCCGTTTTAAATTAGACGTCTTAGTCTTGTCCAGGGCCGGCGCCTACAGGTAATTAAATTAAATGTAAGTCGTAAGAACAGTGTCGTTAGAGGCTCTTCTAAAAGTTTTCCTAATTAGGGCCTCATTTTATTTAAAAAAAACTTAATTTTTTAGGTAATACAAAAAGCGTCTTATATTTTGAAAAGGGTCCCGTTAAATTAGGGGCCCATGCCCCTAATTTAGGGGCCCATGCCCCTAATTTAGGGGCCCATGCCCATAAATTAGGAGTGTATGGTACTGCGTAAGAATAATTAGCAGGTAGAACAAAATTTCATCAATTTCTAACATGTCGTTGTTGAAAAATGTACTTAATATGTTTAATATATATGATGTAACAACATAATATTTTTGAATTTTACTAAAAACCAAAGTTATTTTGTTCTATCTCCAAAAGAGGGTGCGAAAAAAAGGGCGTTAGCGTAATTTTAAAAAGTTTTTTTTTATCTAAAAATTAATAAAAAAAACATTTTTAAATCTTAGGAAATACCTAAATTCTCAAAATATTTTTTCAATTTAGCTGCGAACAAATTCAAACTTTGACATCGATTTTCTCAGTTTGCAAAAACATGGAGATAGCACAAGATAATTCTAACGTCGCGATATGTATAAATCAAGGTTTTGTTCACGCACGATTTTAATTTATATCTGAAGGGACATTGTAGGCATATATAAGGAACTTTTTATTAAACATTGCACTTATTATTGTCTGGAATTTAGAAAAATATATGCGATGTCTCAAACAAGATCAAAAAAAATTTTTTTGGTAGTAAAAACCATCGAAAAGCTACCTGATAATAAGCTGCCAACAAAAAAAGAAGTGCTTGGATATCTTCATTATAGAAAATACTTTATGACACCAATTTCTAAATCTGCTAGCCTTCAGAACGTTGTTGCCTGCCGCTTTTCTAAATTTTTTTTACGCCTAAATGTAACGAAACTGGTGGTTGTCAGACGAAAGAGAACAGCTTAATGTGCGTTACTTGTGCCTTATTTAATATATGGGAAAAGGCTTCAATTCCAATATTGTGTCATAAACAAATAAGGTATAAATAATACTTTTAATTTCTAATTTTGACGGAAATAGTATTGGTATAAACATGATAAAATGCTAGTAATTAACTTTACTTTTTAACTTATACAAATATCTTATAGGAATAACAAAATGAAAATAGCAGAAGTAGATTACAAGTAAACAGAAATAAAGTCTACTGGATATAAGAAATCGCGCATAGATTTTTGGGAAGAAATGCGTAATTTTTTCGACATTTCTCCTTCAGATGTTAATGACATAATAATGAAAGATCACTTATCTATTGAAACTAAATCACTTCCAACCAGTGGTCAATGGATCACTTCCAACCAGTGGTCAATGGATCACTTCCAACCAGTGGTCAATGGATCACTTCCAACCAGTGGTCAATGGATCACTTCCAACCAGTGGTCAATGGATCGTAAGGACAAAAAAGTTTATAAAAAGAAAGATTGCCAAAACAAATCAATTTCAAGAAATAGACTTTAAAGAATACAATTCAAAAAAGAAAAAAACTGACAATTTTGTAACGGTTTCTTTGCCTTAAGATATAATTAAATCAACATCAATTGTTGCAAAAAGATACAAAATTTCTTCAACAGGTCCTGTAGCTCTAATTGCAAG